AACACAAACTAATAACTTAGGCTCTATACCAAGTATCAAGCACTAAGTACTAAGCATTAAGTATCGAGTATCTAGATCAAACGTCGTTCCGAGCTTAATTATATAGCACTAAACCTAGTCGCTACGATAAGCTCTTAGAACGATAGCAAGAAGGCTTCGGAGAAGCTAGCGCCGCTCAATTTGCAGCAATAGCCTTCCTTTACTAAGCGAGTATAGCGTATAGACGAGGAAATGCAGCGTCAAGTTAACTAGTAGTAGGTCTAGCCGACGAGTACTAGATCTTAAGGCCTAGCTTAGGCAGCGATCGAGCGAGAGGCTACAGATATTACGCGAGAGAATTTTAAGGTAGCTTAGGGACATTGTCTAGGGCAGACACCTCCTTAATATCGCCGGGATCTATAGAAGGCAAGAAGGATAATAAGAAGGGCTAAGCATCGAGTATTAATATAGATTCTATTGTTTCTACTATCTAGCATTAGTCTTGTTATTTAATTTGAATAGTTTCTAGCTTTGATATTAGTTGTTTAAATAGCTTGAATAGCTCCTAGTTTAATGATTTTAATAGCTCCTAGTTTAATAATTTGAATGCCTTCTCGATAGACTCGATTCTCTTTATCTTAGTAGAGTATAGTATTCCCGTATTCGTTAACGCCTTAGAGCGTACTACGACGTTACTAGGAAGGAACGCTAGGTTAGGAGTTTCCTATTAACATTCAGAACAATACGAGCTTACCTAAATAACTAAACCTGCTAAACTTACCTTACTCTTATAGTTATATATTGCCTGCTTCCTAAGACGCTTCTCTTCTATTTAGTTTATCGATACTACGTATACTTTCTCGCTCTCTTCTATAATAGCATTACCTTAAATATAAGAACTACGCTAATAGTATAGAAAGTAACAAAGATAGCACTAGTACTCTATAAGTTGCCCTAGTAGGCTCGTCTCTACCTTAGGTATGCGCTAACTAGGAAATATAGCCGTTATAAAGCTTAACGAGGCCGATATATAGGCAGTAGTAGCACAGCTCCTACGGCGGGCTACTCGCTTCGGGGCTAGGTAAGTTATTCTCTAGCCTAGTTAAATCGTCGTTCCTACTACTAATATAGATCTAGATAGGGCACAGTAGCACCGTAGCAGCTACCTTAAATAGTACTATTACTAAATCTATAAGGTCTTAGACTATTCGCGCCGGGTATGTTTAGTCTAGCGCCGCTTGCCTTACCGCCTTCTATCGTACCTCTAGCCGGTCCTATAGTACTACTACCGCTACTACTACTACTATTCGTGCCTGCTCTACCTCCTCTAGCACCTACGCGTCTCGTCGTACGTATCGACTTCTACTAGTTCTATCTGCTTTAGGTAGTAGTCTTCGTAGTTTTAAAAGCTTTTGTTTTTGCTTAGGCTTAGACCGGTTTCTAGAAGATAGGCGAGAAGGGCAAATACGGTCTTAGTCTTAAGAAGTTCCGTAAGGTCCGTATTATTACTAAGCACCGTAGCTAGCAGAACGAGGATAAGTATTGCATCGAGCGCTTTATCTACTAGGACGCTAAGCAGTACAAGGCCTATGTCCCTCTACGACTACTTTGCTAAGAAATACAATATCCGTATCTACTACTTTCTAATATCTTCTAAGAGTAACGTCTGTCTGTTACGCTAAGATTTGCTAGTTGTCTTAGTCCTCGTTGTTTAACTTCGCGCTAAGAGTAACCTCTATTACGCTAAGACTTAGTAGTTGTCTTAGGCTTAAGGTTATTGTTAACCTTCTTATTTCGCTAAGGTTTGCTACTTGTCTCGGGCTTAAGATTATTATTAATCTTCTTATCGTTACACTTCTCGTCTGTCTATTACGCTAAGATTTGCTAGTTGTTTTAGACTTAAGCTTATTATTTAACTTCTCGTAGATAACTGCTAATTAATATCGGCCTATTCTATAAGGCGATTAAGGTAATTACTAAAGCTGCCTAGGCTAAGTTCCTTAATCTAATCCCTTAATCTCCTTAGGGCTATAGGACTTGTTTAACTTATCGACATTGCCGCGGATTAAGTACATTAATACAGGAACTGCATAGCCTTACTATTATCCAATTAGGCCCTTTAGTATAGTAGTTAAGTACGCTCTGCGGTATAGCAACGGAGCGTAGCTACTTAAGGACCGCCTATCTAGTAGCTATAATGCCTCTAATTATATAGACTGCCGATAGTCGGAGGCAGAAATAGCCGAGCTAATAGGCGCGAGAGCGGTTACAATCTATATACTTACGTAATGCTCGATCGAGAATATCTCTTTTATACTAGAGTAACCTGGGTTCGAATCTCGGAGGGGCTATATTCTTTTACTAAGGTCTTAAGGTTCGAGTCCTACTCTCGTTATCTTCTTTTGCTAAAGTCTTATTATTGTACTAAGGTCTTGTCTTTATGCCTAATATCCTTTTTAGCTCTTTAAACATAGGAAGTAATATCCGCGCTTCTTAAACCTATAGGCTCCGAGATGCTAGTATAACTGTTATCGCGGCGACGCTAATATAATCTATAAGCTTCTTAACAATTAGACCGGCTTAGTCTCTAGTGTCCTTATGTTTTACCTTAATTAGAGCGATGCGAGCTACTATATCGTAGGCGATAGTTGTTAGCGATCGTTAGTCCTATTTAGCGGGTAAAGTCGTCGAATTGCTAGATATTTATACCTATAGAGTATTTAGCTGCGTTTACTGCTTCCGCTAATATTGTCGGATTAGCGGTATATACTATCGAGAATATAGTGCATCTTACGGCTAAGAAGGTTGCGGTTAGACGAAGTATGCTTCTAAACTAGCGGCGTTATAAATACCGAAAGTTAATAAGAATTGCCGGATAGGGGCTTCTCGACGTATAATACCTACTATCGCCGGTTATTAAAACTTGCAGAAGTTTGCTAAAAGTTAATAAAACTTCGGATTAGGGCTTCTTAACGTACAAGATCTACGGTTACTAGGTCTTACTAAAAGTTGATAAAAGTTTAAATATAGGGTTTGTAAGGTACAAGATCTACTATCGCTAGGCTTGCTAAATGTCGATAAAAGTTAAGCTAGATCTACGGTCGCCGAGTCTTACTAAAAGTCGATAAAAGTTAATAAAAGTTGTATAATATCTATAGTCGCTACGTCTTATAGAAGATTAATAAAGGTTCGAATATTAGAGGCGTAAGATCTACTAGCGCTAGGTCCTACTAAAAGTTAATAAAAGTTATATAAGATCTACGATCGCCGGGTCTTGCTAAAAGTTAATAAAAGTTCGAACAACCTCTACGGTCGCTAGGTATTGCCGGAAGTTAATAAAAGTCGATAAAAGTTCGGATAGTAGCTTCGTATAGCAGATGTCCTATCGCTAGGTCTTGCTAAAAGTTAATAAAAGTTAATAATAGTTAGTATAGTAGGAGCTAACCTTTTAGATATATTAGAGGATAAGCAATAGTTGTCCTTTGCCTAAACGATAGGCAGGCTATAAAACTGTAAGTAGATACTATACTTTCTAGCGAAGAAGTCGTAGAGGGACTTAGTCGTCTTAGTATCGGATAGACCCGTAAAACCTTATACTACTCGAATATAACCGCCTAAAGCGCTCGATATAGTAGGCGTCTTAGTGCTACTAGCTATATTAACTAGCTATATAAGGACATTTCGGGACATCCTAAGACTAAGACGGCGCTTAGTCTTCTCGCTAATGCGCTAAAGGCCTTCGACGATCGATAAATAGACTAGCTTTAGATTGCGAGTCGGCGAAGCTAGCGCTCCTACTCTAAATAATTATACTGCGGTGCCCTTCTTATGTTTTAATATAGCTCTTCTTGTATTTCGATATAGCTCGGTCCTAGTATTCGTCGTCGATAGCGTCGATATCGATTAAGGCATACGGCAGATCGCGATAATAATATACTTTCGGCGGGATACAGTTGTTATACCTAAGACTCGGCTCGCTTGCGTGCATTCTTTAGTATATATTATTAACCTATGTAGGAACATAGTAGAAGGTTTGTATCCGAGTTAGCTAAGTAATAGGGATATCTAGTAGGCTAATATATACGCCCCTTATATAAACTACTATAAGGGGCGTATATATTAGATATAGAACGCAAAGAAATGCTAAAGCAATAGAATACGCTTTTAGTATTTATTAATACTACTAACTTTATTAACTTCTAGCAGCTCTTACGGCTTCCTACGTCGAAAGAGTAGTATTAGGTAATAGCGACATCTATACCCGTAATTGGCTGAAAGTTGCTAAGAGTTCACGAAAGTTGCTAAGGGTAACTGAAATTTCATGAAATTTGATTGAGGCGCTAAAAATTCCATTTCCGGAGCTTTGCTAGTCTAGAGCCCGTCATTTCCGGAGCTTTGCCACTCTGGAGCTCCGTCCGGGGCTGCTGCGGCGGGCTATTGCTCCCTAGTTGCAGTAAACATCACCTCTTCTCCCCTGTCGTTGCTCCTCTACTGCTGAGCCTATCGATATCGCGATTATTCTCATACCAAACGCAATGCAATCTCGTTCGGACGCCTCATTGCTCGAAGCTGGAATGCAGGCGAGCATGCCGACCTTGCCCGCTTGAGCTCTGCAGATGTCAGCCCCTCAGCCCCAGTCTAGGTCACCTCTGTGACCAATCAATGTCCATCGCCAGTCAATGCTATCAGCCATATAAGCATGCAAGATGTTGTAGGTCGTACCGCTAAACAGAATTCTGTCTCTCTGGACTACGAAGACTCGTTATCAATGTCGTGAAGAGCAGACATTGCAATACCACCGAGCTCGATATCACTCACTCATATGTTATAACCGGGACAGTGGGCCTCGTAGGCGATAGGGCAGAATCGCAGCGAGAGTACTCGGACCGAGCAGCACTACTGAGGTTCTGCTCGTCCTGAAGCCTTGTGAACGTTTGATATACAGACGAGCTCCCAGAAGTTGGCAAGACTTGCACCACTTCAGCGTTCAGTCCCCAAAGCCTCGACACCTCTCTGCCAGCATGGGTTCCACAGAAACTACCAGTCCGCTCCACGTCGCCATCGTCGGAGGAGGTCTCTGCGGCATAGCCCTAGGAATCTCTCTCAAAAGACGAAATGTCCCCTTCACGCTTTACGAAAGCAGATCATCCTTCACAGAAATCGGCGCCGGAATAAATTTCAGTCCCGCAGGAGTCAGAGCACTACGTCTCATCGATCCATCCCTAGGAGAGAAAGTCTTCCAACTCGCCACACGCAACGAGCCTCCGAACGAAGATGTCTGGATGTACTGGAGATACGGAGCACCAGGCCCAAACCACCAAGACGGCGAACTGATCAAGACAATTCTATCTCCCCCTACAGGTAGCATGACATTACATCGCCAAGAACTCCTCAAAGCGCTAGCCGAAGAGATGGGTAGCGAGAACGCGAAGTTCAATAAGAAGCTCGAATCCTACTCGCAAGACGATACCAGCGTCACATTAATTTTCGCCGACGGCACGGCAGAGAAAGCCTCAATCCTCGTCGGCTGTGATGGCATCCACTCCAAAGTCCGAACAACCATGTTCGGCCCCAAAAGCAACCTCAGCAAAGCCGTCTTCTACGGCAGCATTGTCTACCGAGCCGTCCTCTCAATGTCCCAACTCGTCTCCGAAATCGGGGAATCCGCTCGCTCAGCGCAGATCCTAATGGGACCGGGCGGATACCTGATCACATATCCCGTCAACAGTGGTAAGAATGTAAATTGTGGTTTCTGGGCTTACAGGAAAGGTATGGAATGGGATCCGGACAGTGAGTGGCTGATGCCGAATCAAGGAGAGAGTTTTCGGAAAGATCAGGAGGGATGGGGGGAGACGGTGAGGAGGGTTTTGGGGTTGTATGAGCGGGATCCGGCGATGTGGGCGGCTTTTGAGCATGGATGTCAGCCGGAGAGGTTTGCGGAGCAAAGGGTGATTTTGATTGGGGATGGGGCGCATAGTATGCCTCCGCACCAAGGTGAGCTTCGTGCTGTGTCTCGTGTGTCAGAGATGTAAGGTACTGACTCGCTCGCTCGCTCGCTTCAGGCTCCGGTGCTGCCACCGCTGTTGAAGACGCATACGTCCTCGGCGAAGTCTTGTCACTTCTCCAAGGTTCTGATGATCACAAAGCTATCGTGGAAGCTCTAAGAGCCACCGACCAGATTCGTAAGCCAAGATTTCAGCGTGTTCACAGGTACTCATCAGAGGGCGGACCAAGATGGTTTGACTTCTACAATCAAACACTAGAGGGCCTTGACGTTGAGGCATGGATCAAAGAGGGCGAGGCACGATTGAATTGGATTTGGTCTTTTGATTTGGAGGCTCATGCTGAGGAAGCGAAAGCTTTGTGTCGTGAAAGAGTAGCTCAAAGATAATGTCAAGTGATGTGAATATCTTGAAGCTCATTGTGTGCCCTGATTGCTGGTGATTGCAAGTGCCCTCAGTTGATGCGTCCCTTGTACGAGGTTGATTGTTTCACTTATGATCCCCTAGAGCGAGGATCGGAGGTGGTAGATTTGGTTCAGGCACATGCCCTCCAGCGTGAATAAGGATGGCGGCCAGTGGCAGATATATGGCAGCAACGAGGATTCCGAGTGCCATTGTCCATAGAGCTAATTGCACTCGGTTGTGCGATGTCCTGCCATTATGTGACTGAGCATATGTGAGTCTTATTTAATTGGCAAAGGCGGCTGAAAAGAGAAGAGATAGTCTATCTATTGCTATATATACAACACTATTGTAAGACACATGATTGGTTTTAAAATCTTGTCAAAGATTATGGCCTTTTCCTGCCCCGGTAGGTATTACGCTTGCTCCTCCTGAGAAGTCGCGGCCTACCGCCAATGTAAATGTAGGACAAGACACTGGTGATCAAGCAGATTCCTGCGAGCACAAGGTTCATGTTGCCATACCCAATCTTTTGCCTCAGTTCACCAGCAAGCTCAGGTCCCGCGGTGAGGCCGAAAGAGAATACCATGTTCGACAGGCCATACAGCTGTGCATACGGGCCCTGTTCTCCGAAGTAGTCCGGATTAACTTCATAGTATTTCTGGACGACTGCTCCGGCCTCGACGATGGAAGGTGAACCGACACCAGCAAGACCGACACCGCAGAGGCCCAAGAGAACGGCATAGATGGCGATCTGATCCTTGCCACCTTCATGCGGGATTCGAAGACAGATCAGAACTGGGACGAGGAAGCCAAAACTGAGGACAGCAACAGGTTTCGTACCGTATCGGTCAACGCACCAGCCAAGAACAGGTCCAAGTGCCAAGTCCGCTATTCCAAGGGGTATGAACATGAGGCCCGATTCCAGGGAAGAGAAGCCAAAAAGCTTGCTCGCCACGATGGGAATGGTAGAGTCGAAAGAGCCGAGTAGCAGGGCCTGAATGAGTGCTATCAGTAGCGCAGTGAGCAGCATCGGGTCAGATAGACATGGCAGGAGAGATATGTAGCGAGTTAGGCCTCCATACTCCTCCCGCGTTTTAAGGCGATAGTATTCGTTGTCGGGGTGCTTGCCGCCAAGTAGCGCCTGCTCCTCGCCTGCCTCGTCCTCATGTCCAGCTTCGCCATTGCCATTGCTATTGCCATTCGCTTGCTGTTCCGAGTCTTCATCATTGTTTTGCCCCTCGCTATGGGATGCGCTGAGGTCGCTGACAGTACTCGGGTCGTCGACTTCATACTTGAGCGCCGTCTTCTTTTCAATGACGAGCAATCGCATGATGAAGTCAACTACCAGAATTGTAGAGCCAAGCGCAAATACACCCTCGAAGCCGACCTTGTCATATAACACGCCACCTAGGACCGGAGCTGCAAGAGCGCCGACAGAGATGAAGCTGAAGATCTGCAATAATATTAGCAAGCGTTGATGGAGTACCACACAGAAAGAACGCACACTTCCAATGGTCTTGCCCAGGTTCTCCGGTCCGACAGTCTCCAAGGATAGGGCAAGGCCAATGGTCCAAACGAATGCGGCACTAATACCTTGCAGTACTCTTGCAAGAATGAGGATTGGAACGGTGCTGCCCAAAAAGAGCAGAATCGTGCTTGCCAGCAGAGCTAGGAGACCTGCAAGGAAAGGCGCCTGTCTCGAGGAGATCTTATCGGCAAGAAGTCCAGCCAAGGGCGAGAAGACCACGCTTGCAGCGGCATAAGCTGCGAGTAGTCCTGAAACCAGGCTCTGGACTTGTTCTGCTGGTACGCCGACACGATCTTGGAGCATGTATGGTAGGACCGGGACAATCAGGCCATAGAGGAAGGTATCGGTGAAGAGACCGATGCCGACGGTCGCGACGATGAAGAAGGTATTCGACCTCCAGGTGAGCCCGGCTGGTTTGACATTGTAGTCTTTCGAGAGCTGGAGGGTGTTGAGCAGCTTTAGCCACCCGTTTGGCTTACCCATGCTGGCGGCAGTCTTTCAAAGTCTGTGTCGTCAAGCTCACTCAGACTCAGCTGCTCGATGGCGAGGACGATGGCGCCCAAGAAAAGGTGGCGGCTATTGTGTCAGCATGTTGATGAAAACGTACACGAAAACATCACTGAGGAATACGCTCGACGTCATTCTCTGCACGCTCTGTAGGAACGACCGAACTCTGTTTGGATACCGAACTTGTTTTCCCGGTATAGAGGCTGCGCATTCGTATTCAGCACGAGGCAGCAGATGACTGAGAGACACCGAATTTTGAGTGATTGCGGTGTGATTGTCGCAGAACGCACGTAGCACGGACATTGCAAGAGTGAAGATCAGAAGCAGAAGAAGAAGAAGAAGCGAGGTGCTCGTGATCGTGACCATGAGTCTTGGCGCTCGGCTGCTTCCGACGGAGACCTTCACTTCAGTTCGCGATGCTTGTCCTTAGCAAGAACCAGACAAGACTTCTGCAATTGCAGAATCAGGGCCATTTGCGCTCGTAACAGTAGAAGAAGTCCCCCAAAATGGCTGAAGACGGCAACCCCCCAAACGCAACGTTCGTACACTGCACTCCGTACGAACTTTGCAAGGCGAGGGAGGACATGCTAACCAACGTGTAGACTCTACGTACGCGACTGCCCAGCCCAACTCCTCGATACGATGCTGACAGCTTAGGTCCGTGGAATCGACGAGAGAATCAAGATCCCGACGCTGATTCAAGAAATCCATGACACCTTCGGCGAATTCGGAACCATCATCGATGTCGTCGCGAAGAAAAACCTCAAGGCCAAAGGCCAAGCTTTCGTAGTCTTCGAATCTCCAGAAGAGGCTGAGATTGCTATGGAAGCTCTACAAGGTTTCGATCTGCTCGGGCAGCCTGTCACGATTGCCTTTGCAAAGACGCGATCAGACGCGACGATCAAGAAGGACGATGGCGACGAAGCGTTGGAGGAGTGGAAGAAAGTCAGACTGGCGGAGAAAGGTGCGGCACACATTGGTATTATAAGACATTGCGATACGCTGCTGATATGATGGATTTACAGAGCGCAAGAAGGCCGAGGAAGCCGCCGCAGAAGCAGCGAAACCCGCCAAACGCCCCGCCGATGCCGCCAACCTCGCAGAACGTCCTGCGAAGAGCAACACCAAGCCCTCCAACGCGATGGCAGACGAGTATCTTCCACCAAACAAGACTTTGATCCTCCGCGACTTCCCAGACGAATACGGCAAGGACGAGCTTTCGGCGCTCTTCGCGAGGTTCCCTGGTTTCAAGGAAGTGCGTGTCGTGCCGGGTAGAAAGGGTTTGGCCTTCGTGGAGTACGAGGATGAGCTTGGTGGTACGGCGGCGAAGGAGGCGATGCATGGACAGGAGTTGGGCGACAAGACGATTAAGGTTACGTACCAGAGACAGTAGAGTCTGGAGAGGGAGAATGAGGATTCGGCATTGAAGATTCGTTGCAGTATGTCATCCAGGTCACCTTGCCTCTAGTGGAGGTCATTGACAGTCCTCGGAAGTTAATCGCGTTCTGGCCATCCAATCTCGCTTTCCGCGCCTGTAGCTCCAGCTGCTGTTCCCATACCACGCGAGCATTGAGAGCTGGTCTTACGGGCTTTTCTGATGCTTCCTAACTCAACACTCGTCGCGAATTCCTCCATTGCTCTCAGAGACTCACTCCAAGTCTTCCGGCTTCCACTGATCCAACACACGCGGAGGCAAGTGACCAAGTGTCTTCAACTCTTTCACCGTCCTGTGGAACATGACCAGAAACCCAGTACCGTCAAGCTCTTCTAAACCATACTCATCCAGTGGACCGAATGGATGTTCGTCGTCAGCCGCCTCAGCGACAACATCAAGCAGTCTTTGCCTGATTGGAGCTTTCTCGAACTCTGGTCGGAAGAAGAGTTCAGTGAACCAGGCAGCTTCTCTCGCGCCAATAGCCATGCCGATGTGTCTCATGACGCGGTTGTGGAATTCGAAGAGGCGATAGTGGAAGGCGAACTCGACGCACAGCACCCCAGTCATCATATTATCCTTGATCAGAAGTTCTGGCGCCACGACATTGGTTGCGGAGGCAAGCCATATCAGAAGGGAGGCTCGGCAGGCATGACGCTTCAGCAACAAGGTGCCGTTGGTGCGATCAATGAGCTCTTGGAATACCGATGACTCCTTGTGCAGGACGTATTCGGGAACGTATACTGTCTCATGATAGGGGACCCGGACAGCGATCATTCGCGGGTTGCCTAATTTCCTGCCAGAGGTCAGTACATGTATGGCCTATGAAGACTTCCAATGACTGTTCATCCTGCTTACTCCTCAATATCATTGAGCGCTTCTCCCAATTCGATTTTGCGGTGTTCACTCTCTATGGAGCGATGAAAGATGTTGAAGAGCGCAGAGAGAGTGAACGCGAGGGAAGTTGTTGCAGTTGGAAAGTGGGGCGCGCTGAAGCACAGGGCATGTGAAAACGAACATTGGCTTGGCTCACTTGAGCTCACTTCGCATCCAAGTTCAACATCGGCCGAAATCTGAGGCTCACTTACGACACAACACATCAAACGCAGCATCGCTAACACCTCCGTGCTCACATATCCAACGAAGTCGCCGAACGATACAAAGCTACAATCTGGCGCAGCATCCAGACACCTGTCCGTCGAAGGTCCTGAGCCGGACAGCGCATGCATCCATGGCTTCTCCAAAGCCAGAGTTCGCGGACCTGATCAAGTAAGTCGTCCAGCTGTTGGCGAATTCTATTACGCTGTACTCATGCAGGATTAGGGCCTTGCAACAAGAGCGTCTCATCAGCATCACGATCGGAGAGAATCGCAAGCCAATTCAGATCCAGCAGAAGGTACTCGAGGGTGCATCTGACTGGTTCGCCAAGGCACTCAAGCGCGACACTTTCGTTGAGGGCAAGAACGGGAAGCTCAACTTTCCTGATGATGATGTCGCGGCTTGGGATGTTCTGATCTATTGGATGGTCAATCACAGGATGTTTCCGAACGGTCAAGAGCGAGGTGATGTCGTCTTGGTGACGAAATGCTGGATTCTTGGCGACGTGAGTATATGTCGGCATTGAAAGCCAAAGTCGCAACAACAACTATGTTCGCTGACACTCGCCACAGAAGTACGATATCAAGCCATTCCAAGACCAAGCAATGTACAAATTGATCTGCTACCTCCATTGCGTTAGTATCGGCCCTAGCTTCCCGGCGGACGACCTCAACGCGATCCTTCGTCTTTGCCCTCCCGGTTCCGTCTTGGGGAGGATTTTCGCTGAGGATCTCGCCAACGGACTCGCCTTCAATGCGATCAGCTGGGACTGGCTCGCAGGCCTCGACATGGGTCATTTGTGGAAAGAATTTTGCAAGGCAAAGACTGTCTTGAAGAGTAATCCGCATTGGCGATTTGCGAATCGTCGCGGGAAGCCCCAAAACGATTACAGGCCTCACTGGACTGATTACATGGTCGGAGGTTTGGCTGAGAATACTTGGGCTCCAGTGCAGACGATGGACAGGTCAGACTGAGCGAACAGAGGAAGCACCCCTGTGACATGTCGTTCGAAGCACACCGGCTGGGAAAGCACTCATTATCAAGCACTTTGGCTGGATGTAGCGCATGGTCGATGAGATGGCACAGGAGGCTTTGATGAAATACGCCGGCGACTCTTGATATCACGAGCAAATTCAGAGAATGCAATGAGCCCGTCAAATGAGCTCTTAAGTATTCTCGTGTCTTGTATGACAAGACGCAAGACGATATGCAGCAACTTGAAGTTCCCAGCGTAGCCGGATGCAACGAGAATAAATCAATAAGGCTCCTCCTCATGTCAATCCGTCTCACTTTACAGATGAAGCGCCATAGCGTATGTGACGCTATAAGTGAAGCTCTTGCCTCTGAAATTTCCTGCCACCTACTTTCACCACTTTCTCACCTCATTCAAACTTTGCTCACGACCAACACCATTGTCCGCGAAGACGTCCATCTCCAGTCTTCCATCAGAAGCCGACACCAGTCCTGAACCAGTGGACATCATGGCCGAAGATCTGTGGAAGTAAGTCACAATCTCGAACGGTGGGTGATATTGCTCCCAAGATCTAATTTCGAGGCAACAGGTCATTGCAAAGCCAAGATCGACTCATCAAGATCACGATTGGCGACGATGGTGATCCGCCGATCTACATCCAGCAGAAGGTCCTCGAAGCAGTCGCGCCGTGGTTCAAGAATGCCCTGAAGCACAACACGTTCGTGGAGGGACAGACTGGTTCGCTGAGCTTTGCAGAAGACGACGTGGAAGCCTGGAAGGTGCTCGTCTGCTGGATCATAAGACACGACTTCAGCATAGCCACAGAATGCGCAATGGAAGAGCCTTTCGAATTAATGGTAAAGTGCTGGGTTCTGGGTGACAAGGTGAATTGAGCTCGAGCGACTGATCTAATGTGAGGATTTCTTTGCTAATAAGCACGGCCTCCTAGTACGACATCAAACGATTCCAAGACGAAGCTATGGCAGATTTACTTGCGCAGTTCCAGGAGTCCGAATTATCAAATGCCTCAGACGAGGCCTTGAACCGGATTTTCAAGATTTGCCCACCAGGGTCGAAACTGGCAGAGTTAGTCGCACTAGAGGTCGTGCGCGACTTTGAAGATGGTAGCATGGACTGGGACAGAGCGCGAAATTTGGAGCTTGTCAACATTTGGTCCGACTTCTGCACCGCGAAATCGAGAGGGGGGGGCCGACCACGATATGGTAATGCTCGGCTTCAAGGCTCCTGTGCTCGCATATGAAGACGGTGGATATTTTATGGTTGGAGAAAGGATCGCAGCAGATATCGAAGAGTGAAAATATTTCCGCATACCTCGGCGCGCGTCCTGGTTCCATTTGGGGTTGAGTTCTCTATTGCTGATTCGAAGGGACTTATGTGGACGGCTTGCATGATAAATGGAGTGCAGAGACTCCATGGTCTTAATCCAACTTTCTGGCGTGTACCCTCGCGGACGTGCATGGATAGTATCAGCCCCAGCCCCTACTCCAATGCCAGTGTTGGGTCACATCATCCAGAGATATATTTAGCACAGCCATCATCGGCATTTACAATTCGTCTCGAGCGATGAGAAAAGAACAGGAGATCCTCAAGCTCCATAGCAACATGTTCCAGTGCTCTAAATTCCATCAGGATCTGGCTTTTCCTCCGCTTTTGTAGATGCTCGATTCTTTCGCGATGCCCGGTACTCTCGACGGAGAATTTTTCGCTTTGAAATTGCTTGAAGACGAGGAGCCGACGCAAGTTCAACTAGATGCGTTCCTCTCATAACTGCTCGGGCGACGTGAGGCGTCTTCTAGAAAGAGTTAGCTCGGGTATGGCGCAGGTCGAATTTAGGGTGGGTGACAAACCCACCTTGATAGCTTGTACCATCGCTTCTAGCCTTGCAGAGCACTTGAGCGGCGGTATATATCTCCTTGGCTTAGCGCCCCATCGGGCATTTCTCACGTGGACTGTGGTGGTATCGTAATTGACCGGGCGAAAGCCAACTCGATGCAATCGCCAGACCTCGTCGATGAGCAACCAAGCGCGTCTTTCAAGCTCATGGGGTTGCATTGGATCTTCAGTCTTTCTCCTGATGCTGTCGACGCATACCTTGTGGGATGCACGCAAGTATTCGGGATCCACCGGCGGGTCGATCCTGAGTTAGGCAGTCAGCTAAAGTCTGAGCTTCAGACGTTGAGCCGGCATCTCCTTTCGAAAGGTGACTCGGAGTAGAGCGAACTTGCTACTTACATTTGCGAGGTGTTCCGAATAGCGTTCATAATCTTGAGTACCCATGCCTTCTTGTCCCTTTGGCATTCTTCAAAATCGTCCACTTCACCAGGTGGCAGCTCCTGCGGGACTCGCGCATAGCGGTCCTCTCGCGCGTCTTGCTCATCGGCAAAGCGGAAAATGTAACCGGCGTCGGAATGGGATTGTTTTGCTGAAGTGTTCAGGCGATACGATGAAGTAGAGAAGGCGCGGATGCTTGTATTGATACTGGCAGAGGACTTAGCCGAGTCCGCTCGTCATGCTATACGAGATCTGACGAGAAGGAGAAGAACAAAGCGCACTCACTGCCCTCTCAAGAAGCTGGTATTATACCTCGATCTCTCATCCGGCGCTTTCCACTTGGCCTTCCCTTCCAATAATGCCTTCGCCTGCTCTTTCATTCTTTCTCTCCGCTCCTCGTTGACCATGGCGTCTGACATACTGCCCAGTTTCTCCTGCATCTTTCGTGTCTCTTCATCACCTGCCTTAACCTCCTTCCTATTCCATTCTTCGTGGTCTTCCGATCTTTCCGGCCACACGAAAGGACGTACGAGGGAGACTGTCATGTACTTTTTCGCCTTCGGTCGGTGCCATCTTCTGACCGAGGGCCGAATCTCATGGGGCTTGCCAGATTGTACGCGCGACTGTTTGACGTAGGAACGGACGCGCAGAATCTCAACTTGGTATGCGTGCCAAAGATAGTCTCGAAGGTCGAGCTTGGAGAACCATAGCGGGACTTGAAATCTTGCTTCGTGTGGTAATCGTCCTCGTATGAAAGCTATGTTGACATTGGGACTGCAGATTGATAAGCACTTGTGTTGTAGTATATGGACATATTCTCACTCACATGAAGAGCTCTTTCTTGCCGACTCTAAAGGATGCAGTGGCCATTGCCGTGGCTGTCCGTCCGGCGTGTACCAATGCAGCAACGCTTCAGGGATATGTTCGATCCCGAGCCGGTTTGATGAACACGCGTTGGTGAATTGAAGGCGGCGCGTCAAGGTGATGTTCAATGGCGTGCTGCTCGTCTCGGGAATGTCGAAGTTGCCCGCAATGAAGGACTGAAGATCACACCAGGCCACTGCAGGGCTTGGCAGCAACCTTGCCTTACCCCAGAGCCTGTAGTTTGGATTCCCCTATGCACCTCTGAAATGACATTTGCAAGGCTTCGGATCTACATATGTACTTGCTCTCTCATCTACCGGGGCGCGGGCGATACTACTTAACCATGTTCGTGGACGCAAGATGGTTCTTTTTGTCATCCCTACTATCACTACTCGGGTTTCAACGCAGACTACTTCATCATCCCCCCATCCTCCAGAGTCCAGCCTCACAATCTTCTCCGTCGAAGGACCCGGCTGCATAACCCACCTCTGGTTCGTCCAAACATGTCGAAAACTCCTCGGCCCCGGTCTCATCCCCTACTCCACCGCCTGCAAGTTGCAACCCACCCCTCCTCGAAATCCCCAACGCCTCAGGCCTGAATTTCGAAATCAACGACGCAGACTACCACCGAAAAAATTCTGCTCAAAATCTATTGGCAAGGTTCCGAAGAAGCGAGTGTGTCTAGCTCCACTAGGAGATTTCTTCTGCGTGGGGAATTCGAGGCCGAAAAGTTTCGCTTCTGCGGCGTTTTGTGTGAGTGTGAGGGAGCAAGATGAGAAGAGGTTTGGAGGGGCTGCGGCTTTGAATTGTTACTTGCCCATGCCGTTGAGGATTACTTTGGGCATGGCTGGGGCATGCACAAGAATGCATTCCCGTTTTGTGGTTCGATTATTCACGAGTCGGAGATGCAGAACTATCAAGTCAGCTATCGGTGGCATGTCGTCGATCCTGTGAGGTTTAGGAAGAGGATCAAAGTGACGATGGAGAGTGGACATGCTAACCATTTGAGAGACGATTGGAGCACGACTGCGTATTGGTATCAGACTCTGCCAGGTCCAAAACTGCAGATCTTGCCGGTAGAGCAGCGTCTACCTCGGAAGCCGCAATACCCAGGGGCCGGTTCTCCATCAGAGCCAGACTTGACTGCTCTAGACCCTTTGCGGAGGGCGGTGGTGGAGCAACGGGATGAAAGGATGCACCAGTTTGCAAAGGACAGAGCCGAAAGCCTGGGCAAGAGGGCCGAGGAGTCCCGCGAGCGCGCGATCAAGAATACTGAATTTGCACGAGAGGTGCGCAGACGATATCTAAGCAGTCTTGCCAGTTCCTAAGTTTCGAAAGTCCGGACTTGGCTCAGAGCTGCAACACATCTTCAATCCAAGAAGCGAGAGCTTCACAAGCGGATGCTCGACTCACAGCTACCATCGATGCGTACAGATGGCCATCGTGTATCCCGGCAATCGAATCTGCACACCATCGTGCCTTACTGACGTTGGCCGACTTTCTGTACCCTCTCATCGCCAGGAGTAGAGATCTACACACCAGTAATGTGATGCAGTTGGCGGACGCTGTCTCTTTGTCTACCTGGAAGGACTGCAGATACGGTGTGGACTGGCAAAGGTTGTTGTCACTCCCATCCGCAGATCTAGCGAAGAACTCTACGTGCTGGAAGGCTGCTTCTCGCCAGTGATTTCTCGCATGTCCGAACCGGACGTTGTGTGCTTCGGACTGTGAAGGGAGCCTTGTCAACTGGTATAGTGAGCTATAAGACTGCTCGACATATCGAAAAAGCAGCCACCTCTGCAAACGATTGATTGAAGCCCGAATGGACAATGAACTCTGCGATCTCTGGAAGGCCATTCAAGAGAATGACATCTTGGCATAAGTAATGCCCGATCTCAGCGAGCTCGTTGAGGCCGCGTGGGGATGTCTCCAAGGTGCAGAATGGCAATACCTGATGTGTTAGCTTTCTTGTACCGGTTCGGCGTACTAGGAGGACTGTAGTGAATGAACATCACGAGAGAGAACGCTAGTACGGATCTAGTCAAAGGTGGTCCAAGCGTCGGGTTTAGGTTTCTCGCTATCGAACCCAGCGTCAGATCAGCTTCCTTGCTTCCGTACTGTTCTGTTCCTACATCATTATTTGCGGCATCACAGCGGACGAAGGCCTACTACAATGTGCCACCACGGCGGTAAGGTACCGCTCCTGAATCCACCTTGAAGACAGCTGTATGCGCCTGCGATTGTCCTGAAAGTCAAGATGAGTTTCTCCCGGGTTGACTGTAACGAGCAGCGGCCGGTACTTCACAGTCTCGCCCCAGCGTACGACCGGGCTGAGATTATTGGAATTGAGTGACTGGCATCGTGGTCTTGATCGTACAAGACTGTGTACAATGCTTCCAATTTACGAAATCACCACTAATCAAAGAGAACAAGAAGACTTCAAAGCTGAGAAACTGGTTATGACCGCCGCGAGTATGGCCTGCCGGGCGATGTCGATGCAATTCGTGCCTCAACCCGGATCTTTGCGACATCAGCAGGAGCAGATGGTGAGCGATGGTGAGCGGCAGGTGGCTCGCTTGACTCACTTCCCTGAGTCTTGTTCGTGTCTTGTGCATATGCCGTCAAAGAGCGCGTCATAAGTCTTCGCGTGGCCGATGAGATGCCATTCTGGCTTGACTCGAAGCTCTTTTGCGAGCTTCGAGTCATGACTTCGAGCAATCACTGGAACAAGATGATGGCAGGTCCAATGCATGTCTGGATCACTACTGGGTTTGCATCAAGTGCACCTTCAGTACGGCCTCCAGATATGCTCTGTGCGGAGATGCGATGAATATTTGATTCAGACGCCGATGAAGGTATGGACGCGAAGAAGAGACTAGTCCTGCACACTGTGAAAGCTCCGGCGTAAGACCGCTTCAAGTGCATCAATGCTCCTCATTCTCACGAACAATCCTCGAGCCATTTTGCTTGGCTGGCGATGCAGCGGCGCGGCGGGAATTGGCGCCATGAAAATGCTTGGCTGTCGTGAGGGATGGTGCTCGCCTTTCGTTCGTTGGTGGAAGAACCATGCCGCCGAAATTATACCGAGTCGTCTCTCTCTTCCAGGAATCTTGGACAACATCTGCTTCACGCTCCAGCCTGCACTCGTCTGCGGCCATGGCGCTCTCCGCAGCTTGGCCATAGCCACTAGCCTCCGGATATTCTTTTACGCGACTTGGTTCATACCACAACATCACACCAAGTTGGTTCGAGGAGTCTAGAGGTCCCCACAGTCTGATCCAAGATCTCGCTCCTCTTCATGGGGTACATAAGTCCGGAAGATCACAGTGGTCGGTAGACATCATGTACTCCCACCTGTCGAGGCCATTACTCCTTCTCACCGTGCCTTGCGATTCGAAATGGCAGAGAAGTCTCCTCCCAGCCCTCGCTCATCTCTCAAAGAGACCTCGGAGAAGCAAGACCTCGCCGCACCAGAAGTCTTAGCAGTCCAAAATGCTCCAACCACCGAACTCCAGCAATTCTACGCTGACTTCGCAGCAAGAGACCCGGAATTGAAGAAGTCGTTTGAGAAGAAACTGGTTCGGAAGATCGACATTCGTCTATTGCCACTTCTCGTCATCATGTACCTCAACAACTTCCTGGACAGATCCGCTCTGGCCCAAGCACGAATTGGTACACTCGAAGAAGATCTGGGCATGAACCCTTCAGGCACCGACTTCAGTCTTGCGACCTCGATTCTCTTCGTCGGTTACATCTTGGGCCAGCTTCCGTCTAATCTTCTCCTGACTCGCCTTCGACCCTCATGGTATCTTGGCATCGTGATGGGGATCTGGGGCGTCGTCTGTGCACTGACATCAACGGTGCAGAATCTCGGCGGGCTGATTGCTGTCCGGGCCTTTTTGGGAGTCACTGAAGCTCCCTTCTTCCCCGGAGCAATATTTCTCATGAGCTGCTGGTACAATCGCGCCGAACTCACTGGTCGCATTGCTTGGTTCTACAGCGGTGTATCCTTGGCCAACATGTTCGGAGGATTGATCGGAGCGGGAGTGCTAGGGAACATGGAAGGAAAGCTAGGGATCGCGGGTTGGAGATGGTATGCTCGCGCATTATCAGGCTTATACCTGTTGCGATGACTGACAAGAACATTCAAGGCTCTTCATCATCTCCGGATCCATCACTGTCTTCTTTGCACTTTGCTGCATCTTCGTCTTGCCAGACTTTCCGGCCACCACAAAATGGCTGACGCCCGAAGAAAGAGCTTTCGCTCAATGGCGACTACAGCTGGACGCTGGCGAGGACGATGACAATCATGCGGTCTCACTCTGGCAAGGTCTGAAGCTGTGCTGCAAAGACTACCGCCTCTATCTCTTCCTCCTACTCCAGCACATCTCGACGCTGTCGATGACCTTCCAGTACTTCTTTCCAAGTATCGTTCAGACACTAGGATACGGAAGAATCGAGACACTTCTTCTTACAGTAGGCGTAGTATCGAAGACATTGCATGCCTTTGCTGACGACTTTAGGCGCCTGTATGGTTCGCTGCATTTTTGATATCTGTCGTGACGACATACACTGCCGGACGCACTAAAGATCGAAGCATCCATATCATATGCCTCCTCATGATTTCTTGCGTCGGCAATATCATCGTCACAGCAACACTACACACTGGAGCACGTTTCTTCGCCATGTTTTTAGTAAGCATCACCATGCGATCATCTTAAAAAAGTCCTAGCTGACGAATCCCAGATGCCTTTGGGAGCAGTCCCAGCTTTTCAAATCATCGTTGCCTGGGTCTCCAACTCCTTCATCCGACCAACCGTCAAACGCTCCGCCGCCATCGCGATCTGCAACACTTTCGGCAACAGTGCCACGATTTACGGAGCTTACATGTATCCTCTCTCCGATCGACCTCGATACTTGCCAGGTGGAGCGGCAACAGCAGTCATCTGCTTGCTGGTGGCAGCATTGGCATTCGTGCTTCGAATCGTGCATATCCGGGAGAACAAGAAATTGGAAGTGGCTGAGAATGAGGGCATTAGCGAGGCTGTGCCGGAAGAGGAGAGGAGAGGGAGAGGCTTCAGATATGTCTACTGAGAAGAAAGACAGCTCGGCGATGACAACCTATCGCCACCCAAGCCAATCTTTCCGTCATCTATACCTCCTTCCCTCCCTCACACCGGCCTCCTCGCCCTAACCCTAAACGGATGCGCCTCAGTATTATAAACAAACAAATTCGTCTTCTCCTCCCCTTGCAACACATCCCAAACCCCCTTCTTCTCCGGCGGCGCCTGGATCAAATACTGATACTTCAACACCTCCGCCAACATAAAACTCGCCATAAAATTCCCCCTCTCGCCCCCATCCTCCCTCAAAACATTCCTCACACTCACAAACCCAGACCCCACCTTCAAAAGTCGCTCCTGACTCAAAACATAAGCCCAAGCCACATCCCTCCAATACTGCTCCCCCGTCGCCTGGTAAGCATAATACCAACTCTCCACCGCCTCAGGAGCCTGCCCCCCTCCAAACGCAAAATTCTCCGGAATAAACCACCCCGCCCTCTCAAAAAACCCACTCTGATTCACAAACTCCGGTTCGGAAAGGCGTTCCAAATCCCAAGAATAAATCGAAGGCCCGATCCCGGAAGGCGTCGATCGATAACCATTCGCACAGAACTCGGAGAAATCGAGGCCCGGACGAAGGTATCTGGCGTCGCGGAGCGCCGTGCTCCCCAGAATGAACGACCCCCCGATAAAACACGCGAGCCCTTCGGAATAATTCGCTCGGTCCCTCCCGTCGAAGGCTTGCACCATGGTCAGATCCGGGCGCGACGCGGGATGCGACAGGAGATGTTCGAGCGTGGAATCGGCGGCGCGTTTCCAGCGCTCCGCATAATTTGCGTAGGTGTCGGGATCGTACACGAACATTTTGATCAAATACTCGTAGGCGGAATCGTGGCCTGAAATCCAACCGCCATACTCATCCAGGACTTCTCCCGTCTCGACGGAGAAATTCCCACCCGTGAGACCCGGCCAGATCTCGCGAGCGCGGAACCACCAAGATTCCGCGCGTTGGGCCAGAGCGCCGTATGAAGGGTCGCCGGTGAGGTCGGAGAGATGTTGCCATTCGAGAACCAAAGTGCCGAGTTCGGCGAGACCCGCGGTGTAGACTCCATTCGCCATGCGGGAGGTGTTGGTGAAGGTTTGGGAGTCGAGGTTGACGATTGAGACGGGGATACCGGTTGGGGTATTGAAGCAGAATTTCAAAGCGTTGGCGAGAGTTTGGGCTTGGGTGAGGAGGGCTGTGATGTGGGCGGGGTTGTAGTTTTGGGATTTGAAGGGGCCGGTGAGGAGGTCGTAGGCTGAGAGGAGACCGCCTAGGTAGCGGATGTTGGTTTCGAAGAGGCTGGTTGTTGTGGGGGATGGGGAGTGGTTTTTTGTGAAGTCGATGGTGGGGATGAATTGGAGGATTGTGGTGACGATGTCGTGTTGTTGCATGATTATGGCTGTATCCAAGGCGTCGATGGCTGTGAGACCCCAGCCGTTTCTGGAGTTGCGGAAGCTGTTGTTTTGGGGGAGGAGGTCGTCGTTCTGAATCCAATCCCATCAACCATCATCCTCGTTCAAGAAAACGAAGGATTCAACTCACCGGAAACGCATACTTCTCATACCCCTTCCAAGCAAATCGAAACTGATCGATCACAAACTGAGCCCGCTTACCCTGATCCTTCTCAAAGCCCCGATAATCATAACCCACTCCACATTGACGAGGATAGTCCGCATTCGCACACGACGCAGTAGTCCCAGCCACTCTCTGTCTCGAATGCCACTGATGAATGAGCGCACTAGCCTCACTCGTTGGCTCAGCCTTAACCACCAGCGCCGCAGCAGCCATAAGAGCCATCCATCGTGCCATTTCGTTCGCATGAACAACAACAATATCAGCAGCGTCCAGCCCAGAGATATAGAATCTATCCCCGCCCGCCAGAAGATCTCAGATGATGATGACGAGATTCTGAAGAAATGTCGTGCGACGTTGCGACAAACGTAATCTCAAATTACCTTCTGAACCTGGACAACTTAGAATAGCTTCACCTCCCTGCAACCTGGAGAAACCGTATTCGAAAACCCGTCCGACCGGTCCGTCCTCCTCTTCTTCTCAGCCATCTCTATAATTTGACACTTTCGGCAAGTGGCGGACTCATGCATGCCTTGATATGTTCGGATTCTTCATGCATCATCAAGTCCTTACGGCAAACCAGAATTCACTAACCTGCCGAAACCGTCATCCTTGTCGCCCAGGAACCTTAGAACGATAGTTACCATAACCGCGGAGCTACTCCCATGCCCATTGCTTACTGTAGTCCGGACAGCGAGATCATATTCTACCGGGGGTTCTATTTAAAAGATCTTCGCGTATATGGGTATCAATACTACAAGCGGACACCACTCAAACCTATCTTACAACTTCCGCTCCATACTATACATGCCCCATCCCCCTCCCTAGTGTTCACGGTTCAGCACTAAAAGGCCCATTCCCATTCCCATTCCCATTCCGACTCGAACTTGAACCCGTAACATTCGGCACAGGCGGAACCTTCTCATGACTAGCCTTCGTCCTCAAATTCTCTCTCGCCTCCTTATGGCCCGAATTACTCGTCAATCTCCTCAAACCACTTCGCAGCGCCTTGAGAGAGCCCGTGCCACTGAGTTTCGTAGTGGTATATTGACTGGTTTGATACGGTTCATCAGCAGTGTGAGTTCGCGACACGAAATGATGATCGTCGTCAGAGAACGTCTCCACTTCTGTGTCGGAATTGATGAGTTCGAAGTGTCGCGTCGTGGTGGCCGGGGGCGATTTGGTGCGCATGGATGGGGAGGTGATGGAGCGGTTGTGAAGACCTGGTCGTTGAGGTGGGACTTGGTGTTGTGTCTGAGCGAAAGCGCCGGGGTTCATGATTGCCGGTGCTGCTGGTTGAAACCGTGACTCTGCAAAACCGGTCTGGAAGGACGTGATACTGGCATTGCGCTTGAGAGAGCGGTGCAGAATCGGCAATGCCTGTTGGTCGTACAAGTTCTCACGCTCCTCGACGCCGTATCTCGACGAAGATCCGTTCCGTAGTGGCCCAGGGCTTTCCGAAGGCTCTTCGAAAAAGTCGTCAAGAGTGTCAAGCTTCTCGGTCAACTCCCCAATATTCGTGTCCGCAGTCCTTGTGTCATCAGACATCATAGTCGCCGTGCGATCGACAAAGTACGAGTCCGAATAATCATCCCTGTGGAACTCGATCTCCGGTGTCGTAGTTTCACCACCATCCTGTAACCCATTCTGTCCCACGTACGCCAGAGTGTAGAACACAGCATGCACATTCGCTCTCGCCTGCTGAGAGTGCACAGCAGGCATTGGAACCGACCAACCAGACTCCTCTGGAATACCATACAAGCTCTTCGTGCTATCGTACTCCTTTCGCGTCGCACGACTCGAATGCGACCCAGCCATACTCATCCGCAAGTGTTTGTTGTCGAGAGGCGTCCCAGTCATGTCAATGACATTATCCAGGACATCCAAAGCTTGCTGACAATGCTCGGTCTGCAGCAGACGCAGCAACGGTGAGATGAGATCCGGGCCCTGACAAGCAATTTCCGGCTTCCGCATGTCGATATCTGGGATCATGACGCACAGAACCTGCATCGTCTTGACCTTGAACCACGAAGTCTGATTGTTGACCATACCAAGCAGGAAGACCAGGCTGTGGAATTCTTGCGACGGGAACCAAGCATTTCGAATGGCTTGCATGCATTGACCAAGGAAGTCTTTCCCAGTCTTGAACTTGCGCTGAGTAAAGGCAGTCAAGACCTTCGCAAGCCCAACGTAGTTCTGACTCTCGGCTGCGAAAGCAAGTGTCTCAGCAGACTCCAAGCACGGAACCTCGCTTTCATTCTCAAAGTGATGCAAAAATCTCGGCAGATTCGCAAGGACCGTGAATAGTAATCGGTCGTCAGACCCGACAATGTCGCTCGCTGGCATCTTGATGAGCTTCTCCATGATCTGTAGAGAGCGCTCCATCGACCTGCTCGATCGTACACCTTTGTACAAAAGCGCATGCACGCCATTGAAGCCTCCTTCCCATTTGACAGGCTGGCTCTCCTTGAGGATTTTGATGACAGCAGGATCGCTCAAGTCCATCCTCGAAAGAAGTTGTGACAACATGTTCAAACCTTCCTGGAATTCGCGCTCGAAGATGGTGTCCAGACAAGCACATGTCGTCCAGAACAACTGCGGATACTTGAGAAGGTTGAGCGGCTCCAGAGCACCAATAATGCTTCTCAGCGTAGTCAAAATCTCCAACGAAAACACCAGATAGTCGTGATTTTCGTCATCGGCAATCGTATTCGAAAGTCTCGCCAACATATCCGCGAGCATCTGCTGATCAAGCGTTGTGAGAACGCACCTGAAGACCTGGAAGCTGCGGCACGCAACATGTCTCACAGCACAAGAAGTGGCCCAGTGCATTGTGGCCTTACCCCATTCCTCTCGAATGTTGGGGTATGTAATGGAGAAGATGCGTACGCACTCGTCAACCACGTACGCCATGGGTTCCGAGACAGCGCGATTATCTTCCTCGCCAGCTCTAACTTCGCTGTCGGAATAAGACCACGCAATCTTCGGATCATGGCGGCGCACACATTCGATGAAGTCCTCAATAGATTTCTTGTCTGGTTCCGTGCTGCCTGGATCGATCTTGGAGATAACCAGCTCATGGATGAGGTGTACAAGCATTTCCCGAGCTTGATCTTGAACGATGCTCACGTACTGATCCCACTGCACGAGAATGACCTGCAGAAGCATCGGCACCTTATCTGCGGGAAGCTGAAATGGCGAGACGACCAGGTCGACGAGCAGAATCATACTCAGCTGACCCAAAGACAGCCCATTCTGCTTGGCACCGCTTGGTAGCACCAACGAAAGATCCGCGACGTACGGCAACTGAAGTCCCACTGTCTCTTGAGGTGCTTGCGTAGGCTCGCGTCGCTCAGCAACCATAGTCTTTGGACAAATCTGCAGAAGCAAATACTCGACCACCCTAGCACCAGCAGGAGTCTTGGACAGGAATACCACAATTTGCTTTGCATATATGACAAAACTCTGCTCTTTCTTGTCAAGACAAATGTTGATGATGAAATCCAGCACAAGCTGGACATTCCCTGCATGGCCTCCTGTCGCGAGTGCCTGCCAGAGAGCCTGGATCTCATTGTGAAGCGTGATACTGCTCTTGACGGTGATCTCGAATAAATTCACGAGGAGCATATACGAGGTACCAGTAGGTCCGCCATTTGGATCGAGCTGTAGCTCAATGGTCTGAATCCACGGTAGCATGCCAGATACCATGTTTCGCTGATGGTCAGGCTGAAGCTCGTTGAAGTAGGCCGAGAACTCGGAGAAAACATGAAATGCGAGCTCGGGATGTTGGGCAGCCAGTCGCCGCGAGATCTCAAATTGAGCCAGCTTGTACACAGCAGTCGTTTTGTCGGAGACTGAGATATCAAGATCTTGCAGCTTCGAATTCTTGCCGAGACGCTCTTCCAGCGTGCGCAGTAACCGGGCAGACTTCATACGAATGTGGCTGTCCTCGTTGCCGAGTGTGTACAGACCAGCACATAAAATCTTCCAGAAGGGAGTGTTGGCATTGGTATTCTCCGTCAGCACTTTTGTAACGACTTCGAAATAGCTGGCCAGCGCTTTAGGCATGCGAGCGACGTAGCACATTCGTATCGTCTGCGCCATCAATGCCGGCTGATCAGGGTTGTGGATGATCAAATTTTGCAGAGCCTTCCTGCCGATGGCATGCGTGCGATCACTGGGCGCCTCAAAAATGGCATTGATCCATGCCAGCATTCGACGCACATCGAATTGCATCAGCACGCGACCATCAGCAATGAAGCGCAGAGGCCCAGCACACAAGGAAGCCATCGCACCCAGAGCAGCAATCTGCAGCTCGTTCTTCTCCTTCTCGATGGCAGAATTGATGATGCCACGATTTCGCGTGTTCCGTTCGCGTTCGAGGATAGATCTACGAATATGTTCTTGCTGCCGTCGCAACTGCGTTTCGTTAGGCGAGAATCCACACCAGTTCTCCATGAGCGAGAACGTAGCTTGCCGAGCCTGGAAAGACATCCACTGTGATCCTTCCTTCATATCTCTGATGCACTCGTACCAGCCGTCGATAAGAGTGCAGAAGTACGTCCTAAGTTTCTGAAACTCCAACTCAGCCTGCACTTCAGCATCACTAAGGAAGATCCGTAAATGCTTTGTGTAATCCATGATATAAGTCATGACATATTCTTCGCTGGAGATTGCAGGATCTCGAAGTAGATGGCACGTGAGGCTGAGGAGATGCGTGATCTCCGTTCTGAGAAAGTCTGTACGTCGGCTTCTTCGCACATGGCTGACGCTTCGCTGGTGAGCCGCCATTCGCTCTTTCGCCTCGGCGCTACATGCCGCGACGTACGGCTGCAGCGTCTCCAGCAGCGTCTGGAACAGCGTCACATTCGTAGCGCCCAGACCGGTGACAGCAGCATTACGCACTGCGGCATTAGGTACGGACAAGAAGGGCACGACTCGAGAGAAGAGCTCCGAAGCCGACGCGATCCTTTCCTGGCTGGCGGCAGAAGACTTGGAGCCCTTTCGAGTGTGCTGTGAGCTCTGACTGGAGATAGGGTGCGATGTGGCATTTCCGATATTGGTCAGCGTCGTGCAAGCAAAGATGAGATGGGTCTTCCACTGCGCGATGATGATATCCGGCGAGGTGCTGTTGAGACGAGTCGGCGGGCGATTTGGTCCAAATGCCTGTTCCAGAGCTGTACCAGTGGCCTTGGAACCTTCTGCGAATGCTCCGATAACACGATAACTGTGTGACAACCTTTGGCAAACAAGCTCACGGGTCAAGGCCACGGCGTGTAAGCAGATCTCCGAGCTTAAACGGACTAGGTTTGGGAAGACCTTGAACCATAGATTCGCGTCATGCGCGACATCGCTGCTGCATAATTCCACCAGGGTGCTGTTGACATTGCTTTTACGCAGGCCCTTTTGCAGACGACTACGCTCGGCAAGCGACAGGCGTTCGTCGTCCACGTCAATGACCCGTTGGGAGCTTCCTTGCAGGATGCTGATGATGCGGTTGCTCGGCTTTCCCAATGCAGTATCGAACTTGGTGATGAGACGGAGCACATTGACCGCGACAGCACGCACCGCTCGGGACGGAGAGCAGAGGAAGAAAAGGCCATGAGACTCAACCTCATCAACGTGGGCCAAAATTCCCGAGAGATCGAGCGGCAGAGGTCGCACACCTTCCTCTTCATCGCTCGGCTCAGCAACAGCTTTCCGAGTGCGTTGCTGAATGTCATCGATCCAAATCTGCAACAGTTCCACGTACAGCTTGAGCGTGTTCTCGATGTGACCAGGTCCCAGCAAGCTGCCATCCGAAACGGTAGAATATCGGTCGTCAAAGTTGAAGATGAATCGCGCGAATCCAATGGTGACTTGCTGGGCATGCGACTGTCTGGCAATGGACTTGAGTGAATTGGCAGAAGAAGTAGCAATATGCGACTGTACATGCGCCGTGCCCGTGCAAAGCAAATTAACCAAAGAGTTGATCGGGAGGTCCGGCGAAAGACATCGCGGGAGGGCCTCGACAGCCACATGCAAAAGATCATAATAATGTTGCCGTACATCCGTCGGGTTCATGAAATCATCTCGCTTGTTGAAGGTAAATGCTTCGGCCATGGGTGTCTTCGGCGTTTGAGAAGCGAACTTCTCATCCAGGACAGCCTGGCCGCCGAAGGTGTTGTCGCAAATTATCGTGAGCTGTCCAAGCATCTTGCAGAATTTTACATAGTACTCTTTGGCACCGTCATTAAGGTTCGTAGTCATTACGGGTCGTGACAAGCGCTCCGTCCGGCCTGCGGACACAGCAAAGCCTTGGGAACGAGTCCTTCGGTGGGTGATGGGTGAGCGAGAAGAAGGGTCCAAATGTACATCACACTCGAAGCGTGAAGGGAATGGAGGGGCCTCGCCTTTTTCGAGATCGGACATGATGGCGAGGAAAGCGCGAATGGCAATGACAGTCTTCTCTGGGTCCAGGTTCTCGATTCGAAGGTCCTTTTCGGGGCCAGAAAAGAGCTCAGAATTCATCAACGGAAAGATGATATTCCTGAAGCAAAAGTCCTGGTGTTTGTAGCCGATAATGCGGATGAGCTGGATCAGGGGATCAGCAATCATCGGATCCGTCGAGATTAGTATCCTCTTGCCGCCTTGAAGGACAAGTTTAACGACCTCATCAAGCTTGCGGGCGACATGGTTCGGCGATTCGGTATGTCTGTACAGGAACCTCCACACGACTCTGCAGAACGCTTTCAGGGCGTGCGATCTGCCTGCTCGATCTCGTCCCTTGGGCTGGAAAGACATGACGAGCTGGATCCATTGTGTCGCAAAAGTTTCCGGCGGCGATGCGCATAGCAGCACTGCTTGAAGTGGGCACACATATGACCAGTGGTCTGCCTTTGAAAGCATCTGAGTAATCCTCGGTTGCAGAATATTAACCACCTCCTTCCACTTCGGGTAAGTCAGCTCAGTCGTGGCAGTGGCGGCGATGGGGAGTAAGAGATGTTCGAAGAGCTCGGCATAGGCGTGCTTCATCGTCCGTCCATGCACTTCCGCAAAGTATTTTGCCAGTACGGTCAGCACGTCGCAAGACCTCTGCCAATTTTCTTCTGGTTGAATGCGGATCTTCAGCCATCGCATGCTCTGCACCAGCAATGCGGTCTTGGCAGTCAGCTTGGGATCCGAGGCACCTTTCACGGCCAGCCGTTTCTGCGCTCCCTCAAGGTCCATGATGAAGCGAGAAGCCACTTCATTGAAACGCACTCCGCTCATCACACCCAGCAACTGTCCTCGGATCACCCAGTTTGCTCGAATGACCGGTGCGGTGGCAAGTGTGTCGGGATCTGCGCTCTGCAGCTGCCCATATATGACATCCTCGAGCCGCGCAGCGGTATTGAGGCTGTTGTCCGGTCCATTGAGTGCTTTCAGCGTCGTCTGGCCAATGATCTCGATCAACACCCGACACAAAATATAGATCGAGACGGTACTCCTTCTATCGGCCAAAGCCACGCTCTGTTCCAACATGTACAAATCTTGGCCACTCGGCGGCGAAGTAGGTATCGTATGCGCGCCAGAGCCATTCGTTCGATTCGTAAGACCAGCCGCCTCCTTGAAAGCCTTGATCTCGTTGTAGATCGTGTTCGCTGCATCGGCCTTCTTCTTCCGCCAATGGATCACGGCATCGATCAGTGAATTCGGCTTGTGTCGATTGATGTGTCCCAGCGAAGATATCAGTTGGTCAAAAGCCGGATCAGCGCCTGGTCCACACACATTCTCCACACGCGGTTCGGGTTCGCCAGGCTTCTGCAGACATCGTTCAATCCTCTCGTCTGCTTCGGCAATGAATGAGGTGAAGAGATGATGTAGCGCATACTCTCCCACGGTCTTCGGCTCGGGCACGCCTGTCTGGGCCCTGGATTGCGATCGATTATGCTCGTGGGCCCTCTTGACGCGTCCACTATGCATTCTCTCCGGCCGTCTCTGCGCCAGTGTGCCCCCATTCTCCAAGCTCCGATTGACCGACGTATTCCCATTGACTGTGGTGTGTCCACTGCTGGGCAACTGCGACATGGACGGACTCTTCTGGAGAGCGGAATTCGACAAGCTCGCAGTCGGATGGACACTGAACGGCTGAGGAGGCTGCTCTCCACCACTGGCCATGATTTTCGAGGAACTCAACGGGCTCGCATTGGTGCTCGACAACAAGCTGGGATTCCTCGAATGCTGGACTCCATGCACAATGCTCGCTTGGCGGTGATGGCTATAGCTGACGGAAGGCTTGCGATCGATGTCGGCACTGGGCTTGCTCACATGCGTATGCGTCCTGCTTTGCGCAGCGGGGGTGACAGCGCGCGGCGATGCATTGCGCGAAGAGGTTGCGCTCAAGGCTCTGCCCCTCGTGACACTGGGGTCGCGTACGGAGGGGGAGACGGGCTTGGGCGGCAGCGGGTAGTGAGGAGGCTGCGGTGGAGCGGCGAGCAGCGGTTCGGGGGGCGGACTCGTATTGGGGTCGGTGTAGACGGGCGAGATGGCGGTGTTGATGGGTGATCGTCCATCGGCGGGCGAGGGCACGGCTGTAGGGACGGTGATGGTCAGTACAGGCAGCGACACGACTTCTTCCACTTGCATCGGACTGCGGCTCTCGTCTGCCAACCAAGTGCTGACTGCTGACGACCACACCAGACTGGGCTGGAGTAGGTGAGAATAATAATGGCAGTGGCAGTTGGTGGATCGCCAGGCCAGGCCAGGCCAGGGTGTTCATTTTCGGGGGACAGAACCTACTCATCCTATTCTATCGCACAGCGGAAGCTTCCCAAAGTCCCTCTTTCATCGCGCAGCGCATATCAATCCTCAGACCGTACGATGCAGAAGTTCAGCTGTAAAGTTACGCGCAAACAGAGCACCACGCACGCCCAACGACGACGACGACGACGACGACGTGCGTTCTGTTGCTGTTCCTTGCATTCACGCGCCGCGCTGCCCACTATTCTATTCTAGTGCATTCTTCCTGCCAGGGCAGCCAATTAAACCTGAAATCCACCCACCCACCCTGCCAAAAACTGCCGAACCGACATCTCCCTCTCTCTCTCTCGCCTGCTACGCAACCACAAAAAGCCACGCGTCGAGTAGAATGTCTATACCAATCCGAAATCCTCCAGTATCCTGATCATACCTCTCGTCCTCATGTTTGAACGAGAACTTCGACAAGTTTGGGTAGCCTTGTCAAAGTGAACCCGAGTTTGTTGGCTGCACGACATGCACTTCCATGCCGGCGAACACGAGTGGGAAACACAAGACACGTAAGTGTGATGTGGCGAAGGCATGATGCGAAGTCAGGCAGTGACTATCGGAAAGAGCAGAGGGATTGGTGGCGACAAGCAAGAATCATGTACCACTCTATTTACTTTTCCATGCCGCAGAGAGTCATGAACACCTGAACAAGCTATGATAGCAGAAAGCAGCAGCAGCAACAGCAAACAAATCATTACCATTACCACGCCAAACAAATTCCAGCCCGCCCATGCATACCATACCGTCCATGATTGCCTGCGAAGGCTACAGTCTTGAAGAGCTGAGCTTCGAGCAACGCTGCCAAACACAGAGCCAAGCTCGCCGTCGCCGCCGCCCGTGATGCTGTCGTGTGACAGACGATATCGCCGAATAAAACATGTGAAGAGCTAAAAAAGTACAGAACATGCAACCGAAGATGCTAAGTTCCAAGCCAGCCACGGGTGGCATGACCAACACACATTGCTGATGATCACGTTGTAGATGCCACCATATCACTCACTCATAACTGCTTGTTTGTTGCATCGACAGTGAGTGACAAAGGGTTGGGTGGAGGAACCAGACATGCTGTAGTAATGCACAGATCCGAAGTGCCGCGATGCATCTGGTCGTGGGCAATCATGAGCTCGTAATGACATCGTCTAGTCGTCATGTTGTACAAAGTTGTGTGCATCGCTGCGTCGACAGTATTGATAGATCGAAAAGAGGGTCGGGTTTGAGGGTGGAAGCCAGCACACCCGCTCTTACTCCTGCTCCGAAGCAGCAGCAGAGTCAACTGGGCTGTGAGCGTGGGCAGTAGCCGGCGAGGTGGCGGGTGCAGCCTTGGCGTCGACAGTGGTCTCGGGCGTGGCGGCTTGTGTCTCGGTACCAGAGGCGACGTTTATCTGAACGAGTGGTGGCTGCTGCTGGGAGGCACCAGTGTACGGCATGCCGCCAAGCGGGCTGCGGCCTGGAGCCTGACGGATTGCTGATTGAGCCCAACGCTGGCCTTGGATTGGCACGGACGCGCTGGTGCCAAGGTACTGGTCGAACTCGTTAGTGTTCTGATTGTTGTCGTGCACCGCCGAGCCAGCATATGGGAGACGGCCCTGGCGCCAAGCTTGTGTTGCGTACTCGTACTCAGCCGACCGGAACTGGCGAGCAGCCTGTGTCTGCTGCTTCAAGGCCTTCTGCTCCTGGGTGTCGGCGTAGCGGATCTGGATCTGGAGCTCCTCGCCTTGAGACTTGATGGTGTGGTTGTTGAACGTCTTGATGACCTCTTCGCAAGCATCTCGAGACTCAAAGCTGTTGATGACCGTCAGTAGTGAACAGGACAACGAATGTGGAGGGAAGCCTTACCGCGCGAAGCCGACACCGCGTCCGTTGCCGTTCTTGTCGCGAAGGATTCGAGATGAGCACACCTTATGTGGAGCGAAGAGCTGGGCCAGTTCGTGCTCGTTCATGGTCTTTGGCAAGTTGGAGACGTAGAGGTTGGTGTTGTTCTCGTCGGAGAATGTCTTCAGCTTCGAGTAGAACGACTCACGGGCGAAGCTGACTTCGTATCCAAGGTAGTGGAATCCGCGAATGCAATTCTCGGCGTCTTCATAGTTGTGGTACTTGACAAAGCCAAAGCTAAGAGAGGTCAGCATGAGCGACGACAGCGAGGATAATACAGCACTCACCCCTTGCAGAGACCAGTGTTGAGGTCGATGATGGACTTTGAACTCTTGATGTCGCCAAAGCGAGTTCCCCACTGCTCCAGCATCTCGTCGGTAGTCTCTGGCAGGAGACCTCGGATGTAGACATTAGTCTCGCCTCGCTGGTTCTCCAAGGCACGGTCCAGTGGCTTCAGTGGTGAGGACGGAGCTGGGATGGCACGAGGAATTGCTGGCTCCCTGGAGATGAGCAGCTTGATACGAGGAGACACCTCGCTCTGCTCAGGCTGCTTTGCAACAGGCATGCCGTATGGACCGACCATGGAGGTCGGCGATGGAGTGCTGTGAGTGAAGACACCGCTGGGAGACCTATTGATCGCGACACCACTGTGAGCAAAGCCAGGATATCCGGCATAGGAGGGAGTGGTCGGTTGGTCATTCTCATTGGACGAGATGGAGTCGCGGCGAGGCGTAATCAGAGTAGGCACTTCACCAGTAGCGCCGGCGGTGGTTGGCGTCCAGTTCTGGGACAATGGGCTGTTGTCATGCTGCTGGTAACCGCCGTAGTTGAGCTGCGGCATGTACTGAGTACCGTGAGGAGTGTACATGCCGGGTGACTGCACATTTGCTCCGCCGTAACTGCCCGGGAAAGCGTACTGGCCCTGGCCGTACATCGAAGCAGGCATGGAGGTGCCGACGGGAAGTCCGCCGTACCCGTTGTTGGGCGCAGTGGACATCATGGCGTTCTTGGCCTGAGCGGCGAAGGACTGGTTGCCCATGGTCATGCCTTGAAAGCCATGAGCGAGTGCCGCCATGGGATCGGATTGAGGGTTGTGGTGCATGCCGTAGCCCTGACCTTGCTGGCCCCGATTGTACTGCTGGGTGGAGTACATGTTGTTCTGCTGGTTGTATCCGGTCTGAGCGCGGTTGTAGCTGGCGTTCTTGGAATCGGCCATGGCTGCCATTTGCTTGAAGCCACGGTCAGCGGGTGCCTGGCGGCGGTGAGGTTTGCTGAAGAGCAGGTGGTGGGTGGAGAGGGGCCCAAAAGCCGTCATCTTGCGTGCAGAGGGATGTGCAGAAATGCTTTTGCTCCAATAAAGATGTTCTCAGGTGAATTTGGCCAAGGCGAGGCCGATGTCCAAACCAGTGTTGCCGCTGCCACCAAAGACAGTGCTTGAAATCTTACCGATGATGGTCTGGTACGGATGGATATGTTCCAACGGTGTCCTGGAAGGAACGTGACTTGAGACTCTGTGATGCAACATGTCAGCGTTGGCATGTGATGGCGATGTCAGGTGGGCTGATGACGAGGGTGCTGCTGGCGGGGAGTCTCGGGATGAAACCCGGTGAGAGAGAAAGTGCTTGGAATGGGCCCGACTCACCTGCTTGAAGCGGATGAAAGTCGAGCTCGATGGTGCTGCCGGTCGATGGTCGACGGTGACGAGAATGCAGATGTCGGCGAGAAGGAGTGACAAGCGGGATGCGATGCTGGCAGAGGCGGTATGTCAACGGCGAATGCACGAAAGAAGAAAAAGCAGAAGTGTGAAGTGTGTAAGAACTGGGTGGTGTTGTTGTATGAGGGAGATGAGAGAAAGAAGAGCAGAAGGTCGAGCAGAGAAAGGTCGGTGTTGCCAGCAGCAGAGTTTCGCACTAGTCCGTACGGTGAAGGTGAGGAAGGAGCTGCAAAAGCGCACCTGAAAGCTCAGAAGTCACGGGTGGCAAGGCCGACGCCGATTTCTGCAGTTTCTGCGGTAGGAATGAATGCCGTCGGCGTCAATGGGAGGTGGTGAGCGTGTTGGGCGGCAGTCGAGTCGCGTGGCTCTGTTCCCGAACGGGCAAGTGATGTCGAGTATTTGCTGAAATCGATGATCAAACGCCGTCAACTGAGGCACCCGCAGAGCGCAAATGCGACGCTGGTCTCGCTCCCACGAGTCGCTGCTACTCTCCGGCCAATTCCGTGCGTATCGCCAGATGCAATAACGATGCTGGGTCGGTGGAAGGTATGGAGTGCACGCCCGCACTCAGATGGAGTGCTTCAGGGGCCGGGAGGTGCGATGCAACGGTGATGGCAGAGGGATGGTGCTGGCGATGGGCGGGTGATCAAGAGGCTCAATGGCTTGGGAATGATAGATCAATGGCGCAGAGGGATGTGCCGGATGGCATCAGAGCAAAACGGCATCAGGCTCGAGGGCGAGGCGGAGCGGTTTTGTTATGGCCTGCAGTCAACGGCTCGACCTGTCACACGCAGGGGCCGGTCGATTGTTTTGCACCTGCAAGCCCTGCCGCCTTTGTTCTAAAGGCAGCGCTGCTCTCAACCCTTCTACAAACCACTCATCGCGAGGCTACACAAAGCGATGCGCTCTGCATGATTAAGCTTTGCGAGACGCCACCAAACGCTCACTCCATCGCTTCTGCCCTCCATCCCGCGCACATGTGAACCGTTACCACACCACCGACTGGCCTCGATAGCGCCCGTGCAGACGAGCATCTCATCTGACTAGCTTCCTGATCGAAGTGCGCAATCCCGCATCGACCGGATCTTTCAAATGTGATCTATCATTTTCGCGAGCCGCCGAACGGGCCCTTCGATCGAGCAGCCGTACAGTAGCCGTAGCGGGTCCGGGATGTAGTGCCAATGCCAATCCTCCAACTTCCACCCACTGCCTATCGTTCAACATTCGAAACACCTCTACCCACGCCGCATTGCCGTTGGCGATGTGGGGAAAGATGTCGTTTCTGCATCGCGGCTCTCGCAGGGCGCTGACGCCATTATGGCTGCGTGTTTGATGCAGGTTTAACAAGAACGAGACTTCCGCTCTCACAGCGCCCAATTTTAGCCATGACAATGCTGATCCAATGTTGTACCTGCATCTGATTGTGTGCGCCTTTGCCGCCTGTCCTTGTCAACCCGGCTAACGGTGGCTCCAACCTGGTTGATGTGCAGCAGCAGCCATATCATCAGACCGACTCCTAATCCGTGCCCAGTTCTGATCAGCACCTGACACTGTTTCCCTTCCTATTTCGCTTCTGCTTACACGAAACTCATGCTGCTGAGCAGCATACATACCCAGCCAGCGGTGCAGATGCTGTCAGCTGCCCCCCAAATCCGTACTGCACTGGCACCCAACCCGTCATCGTGGTCTCCGAATCTGCAAGCGATCAGGCTTCCACAAGATGGCGAGTCGTTTGACCAGATTTGGGAAGACGCGTTGTGCGTTGTCCGTCAGCGGAGAAGGCCAGTTGTTCAGCAAGGTGCCGCCTCGAGGTCCGTTGCCGACGTCGTGCGACCATAGACTGGGAGGGGTCCGTCGAGTCGCTTCGTATCCATGCCTGCAATGCAATGCAAGATTGACATTTCCCCGGATGCCCAAAGCATCACACATGAACCCTCACACCACACCATACTATCAGCGCTGGCTCTCGCGGCCCGACGATCACAACATTAGGCGCCATCAGCTTTGACATTAGCAAGGACGGGCAAAGATGCTCCAGTCCCAGCGCTCCGAACCTGGTTCTTGGGAACAGTCGGCGCTCGGCCAGCAGCATACTGCGCGACGTCCCGAAGTCTGCCGGTATCTTGACGTCCACGGCAGCGTCAAATGACTGGAACAACTCGACGCGTCTCTACAAACAGAGTCGAGTGTACGACGCATCTCGAGCAGAGTGCACTTCAGGATCTTGGTCCAGCATAGCACCTGCTCGACGTTGTCGACAAATGGTCCTTCCTCGTTATCCGACATTCTTCCTCGACTGCCATCCTAGCTGACAACTTCATCTCTTGAGAGCGATTGCGACGTGTTGTTACACCCGAGGTCTTCTTTCCAATCAATTTACTGTACTGTACGGCTTCATGTCGCCTGATGTCAAGAAAGAACCAGCCGGAGCTGAGAATCTCCTGAATTCAAGGTTTCCGACAACCAAATGGCCCAAGCTTTCTCCAGGTTGAACCCTGTTCTGATGCAAAGCGATATCGTTGCATGTTTCAGACATATGAAAAGCATTTCCGCACGTACGTCGCGTCGCGCTACCAGCACCATTCCATTGCACATTTTTGTCATGGACACTCGTGTATGTATCGAACTGCGGAAGGCATCTACAAAAAGATTTGCTGTATAGCGCCAGGAAGGAGTACGCCGTCACTTGCGTCCGGGAAACAAGCCGTCACATCGCGGCACAATTCCACGCTACCATTACCGACTCCAGATCGCTAAAACACAATTGCCCCACGCATCGCTTCCGATGAAGGACGGAGTGAGTGCGCAATCGAAAAAATGGAGTTCGCACTCCTCTATGACCAGACATCCTCTTGGTACTGGTTGGCGGCTCTCATTGACTTCACAATGTCCTCGCCCTTCTTCTTGTCCACGCCTCTTTGCTCGGAGATGATCTGTGCGAGGATCTCGTTGACCTCCCGAGCCATGTTCGCAGCATCACCGCACACGTAAAAGTATGCCTTTTGCTCGAGCAACTTGTTGACTTCCTCTGCTCTCTCCTTTAGCCTGTGCTGTACGTATACCTTCTTCTCGGTTTCTCGGGAAAACGCGCAGACGAGCTCGAATGCACCGCCCATGTCTTTGGTCCATTGCTGTTGATTCAAGATTAGTCGGCCGCTCATAGGTAGGATATGTTTGAATCTCAACTCACCTCCCACTCCTTCTCATAGATGAAGTCTTCTGTGCGATTTCGGCATCCGAAGAAGAGTATCGTCTTTCCAACGTTCTCGCCATTCTTGGCCTGCTGCGCTCTCTCCTGCACAAAACCACGGAATGGAGCCACACCAGTACCTGGACCGACCATGATAATGGGCTTGCTTGGGTCCGATGGCAACTTGAAGTTTGAGTGTCGGATGTGGACTGGAACGTGGCAGCCGTCGTACTTGTTTCGAGGACCTGTGATGGCGTAGTTCAGGCCGTGTGGATCTGGGTTTGCCTCACCATGCTGCTTGAGCATGAGCGAGAGCAAGTAGTTTGTGGTCACACCCTTGACGATATGTGGCGCGCCAGGAACTTCCACAGACTCTACCACAGCGGTGATTGCAACCCTATGCTTCTGGACCAGGGATGAAGAGGAAATCGAGTAGTAGCGAGGTTGGATCTTGTTCAAGCCTTCGATGAAGAGCGAGAAGGGGATTTTGGGCCACTTTTCACCATTTCCGACGTACTGAAGGAACTGTGCGATGTTGAAGTTCTTCTTGGCAACTTCCTCTGCAAATACATCCTTGTCGGCACCGATCTTGGTCATCTTCTCCTTGATCTCGTCATTTGGCGAAAATTGGGCGAGGGTGCCGACGAATTGACGGGAGACAGGAGCGCAGATTTCAAGCTGGTATCGGAAGACGGTGTCGTAAGTGGTAGGTGTTGGGAAGGGCACCTTGGCAGTGGCATCAAGTCCCTTTACTTTGATCACAGTATTTCGCTTCTCGGACAGACCGCAGACTTCGAGAAGCCTGTCGACTTCCTTGCCGGCATTGTTGGGCCAGACAGCAATGTGATCACCTGTAGTGTAAGACAAATTGGAGCCAGAGATGTCAATCTCCATGTGCAGGCAGTTTCGCGTCTGATCGTGGAAGATCTCGCGAGACTCAGCGATTGGTGCGATGTATGGATTGTGTGCGTTGTATGGGCCCTTGGAGTGTCCTTCAAGGTGATTCTTGTTTGGCTCTCCCAGGTAGACTGTGTCAGTCTCGGCGCTCATTTCAAGCATCTCGGTGATTTCGTAGTTGGGCTCGTAAACAGCCTCACGCTCTTCCAATTGCATTGCCTCGGCGAGAGCGGTCCACATTGGCTCCTTCCATGCAAGGAAATCTTCTTCCATGGTTCCAGCACCATCGTCACCTTCACCGGCCGCGCCAATGCGCTGAGCACCGAGCTTAGTGAGCGACTTGTCGACCTCGCGCACCATGGAGTTGTAGTGTTCGTAGGTGTTGTTGCCCAGACCGAATGCGACGTACTTCATGTTTGAAAGTGGCTGCTCTTCAGCACTCTTTTCGCTGAAGCTGGGCTCGTCTCCATGAATGAACTCGTAGAACTCAACCGCGTTATCCGTGGGCTCTCCCTCGCCATATGTGGCCAGCACAAAGAAGGCGATCTTGTCCTCCGGCCACTGGTCCAGATTCTCGTAATCATACTCTTCCAAATCTGCCGTCATGGTCTTCAAGCCGAATCTCGAAGATCCCTCTTTCGCCAATCGAGAAGCATAGTCCTCGGCGGTACCAGTCTGAGAGCCATAGAAGACAACACAGTTCTTGCCGGACTCCTCCATCTTCTCGAGGATGTTCCGCGTCTTGCCCGCCTTTCCAGCGTGGCCATTGGCGTTGGCGTTGGCATAGGGATCTTTCTGTACTGCCCAGTATGTGCCCTTTGTGAAGTAGGCGACGGTTCCCAGCAGTAAGACGACCAGGACGATGATGTCCAGTGTATCGAGAGACGCCATTTTCGGGTGTGTGTTGAATCAGTGGAAGGGTTCTCGAAAGAGTGGCGTGAGAACAGGAGTGCATACAAAAAGAAGAGCCGCTGATCTCGGGAGGTAGGTGGGCCGCTTATCGTGCCGACGTGCTTCTACGACCGGCGCGCTGACTGCACGGGGCTGGACAGGGAGTAGTGGGTAAGTCAGGCGGCGAACTCGCAGCCAAGCGGTCCGACGGAGATGAAGAACGGCGTTGCTCAGAATGCCAAACACAGCACACGGGGGGTGAGGGTGATGAGGGCGCGGCTGGCAAGTGGAATGCGTCAACGATATGAAATGGATTGGTGTGGCGCTTCGGCAGCTTTCAGCAGAGAAGTGCACCGGTGGGGATCGGCGCTGCTGAGGGTAGAACTAAGGGTCGGCCGGACGTTGCGCCAAGGAAGCTCTCCGGCTTTGCTTTGCCTTGTGGCACCCTGATGCGTGGTCGGACCCTTACCCTTACGAAAGCGACTTGGCCGAAGTCGAACGACAATGTTGGCTCGTGCATAAAAATTGCCGTGACGACCTCCGAGACCCTTTTCACCTGAAAGTCCACAGTGTGGCGTGCGTGGCCCAGTGGAGATTGTTTAGTGCACGACCACGGAAGCATTCCTTCACTTCACTGACCGAAGTGAGCCTCACACGAATGACGTAGCGTGCATCGTCCGCTAGCTGCTGCGGAATGAAATGAAGATGCCTCGGTGCCTGACTTTTCGACATCCACATCACGTAATCCACAGCACATTTAGAAGATCCTATCCAGCTACTTCAAAACGACCCTCAGACAATCAGCAAACTACAGCAGCAACAATTCTTTCATCACCGCAACAAGATCCCTCCATCTGCCAACAACCATCCCCGACCCACGCCAGACCGACGAACCAAGCACCACCAGTCCACGGTCACTAGTACACTCATCATGATCTGTTTTCCCACAGTTGTTGTAGCCCATTGAATCTGTGTCATCACAGTGCCACGCGACTATACCCTAAGCGACTGTTGCTGCCGATAGAAGGAGAAGCGGTGTGGAGAGCGTGAGGCGCATGGTGATGGGAATGCAATGGTTGAATGGCGGCTACGGTGACGAGGCAAGTCTTTATTATACAACATCGGAGGGGAAGTTGGGAAATTTGAGCGGTATCTATATACTTCTATATCAGAGCTATAAGGTTTTTACAGGATTGAGCCAACCTGGAGGCCGAGTGGACTAGGTATAGACACGATTAGTAACAAATGCATACATGAGTAGAATGAGATTGCATGGTTCAGCTATAGAAGCCTTGTTGCAGGCCTACAACCTGATCATATGTACTCTAGAAATCATAAACAAACTTCGCGCACCCTCACGCCTGCTTTTCTGCCTCCTCTCCAGCGGCCTTCTTCTCCATGCTAACCGTTGAGCTGATCGGATCACCTCCTCTCGTCACCCCATGTGTGACTTGATGGTTGCCTAAGAATGTCTCGAACTCGCACCAGTCACCAATCTGTTCATCGAAGAATTGGTCGAGATCGAGACCACGAATCTCCGCTTCCTCGCTCACCCGTAGCCCAAGTCCAGGAATGAATTTGAGGATGAGAAGCAGAATGCACGTCACCACGAAGCTGTACGAGCTGATGGCCGTGATCTCAGCAAATTGCTTGCCAACTTGCACGCCATTGCCATTGATGCCACCCGGGTAGCGCGAGCTCCCGTCCAGCGCCGAAATCGTCTCGTCTGCGAATATTCCCGTCAAGAAGGAGCCCATCATCCCGCCAATTCCGTGCAGCTTGAAGACCTCCAGCCCTTCGTCGATGTTGATCCATTCGTTCAGATTCTGCAGACTGGCGCACACAACAGCTGTGACGAAGCCGATGACAGCAGCGAGCCAGAAGCTCACATAACTAGAACACAATCAGCAACACCCGGCCCATCGACATCGGTTCCGACTTACCCAGCCGCAGGTGTGATTCCGACCAGACCAGCGATCGCCCCCTCACAAGCACCAACCACAGAGAATTTCCCCTTGGTTCTGATAAAGTCGACGACGACCCAGCCCAAAACTCCGGTCGAAGCGGCGACATTAGTGTTGAAAGCAGCATACATAGCACGAATGCTAGCATTAAGCGCAGATCCGCCATTGAAACCGAACCATCCAAACCAGATCAAAATCGTGCCGAGGAAGACGAGCGTAGTATTATGCGGCTTCTTGTGCGTCTTTTCTCCCGTCTGTCTTCGCTTGCCGAGTATAAAGGCATATGCCAGACCAGCCCACCCGGAAGCGATGTGGACCGGCCCTCCACCGGCGAAGTCGAGAGAGGGCAAGTTGTAGAGCCAGCCATTGCTATTCCACGTCCAGCATGCGATCGGACAGTAGACGATCGAGGCCCAAAAGAAGCTGAAAATGAGGGAAGAAATGATGCGACCACGCTCAAACGACCCTCCAATCACAATCTGCACGGTACAAGCGCAGAAAAGCAACTGATAGAGACAAAACACAATCTAATAACCCAATCATCAGCATGAAATCATTCAACACCAATCCCCATCATCACCATACCTACCTCAGGAATATAAACACTCCCCGGACTCGGCGCAGCCCTGACATGCCGCAACCCGAAGTTCTCCAAATCCCCTATAAAAGCATTCGCCGTGCGCGAATACGCCAACGAATAGCCCCAAAACATCCATTGAAAAGTCGTGACGGCCGCCACCATGAGACTCTGGAAGAGTAACGACAAACTGCTTTTCCGCCGTGCGAGTCCGCCATAGAGTAATCCGATTCCGGGGATTATGAGCCAGACGATGAAACCGCAGAAGATCAGGTAGACGTAGTGGTATTCGAAACCGGTGTATTGGGCGTTTACGTCGATTTTTAAGGGGTTGCCGCCGGAGGGGGAGGTGGGGTTGAATTCGGGCTAGAATGAGGAATGAGTAGGTGATGTGCGGGTTGGGTTTGGAAGGGGTAGGTGGCTTACTGCTATGAATTCTGCCATATTCTTTTCTGTTTTGGAAAAGGTTCACTTGGAAGTGAAGGAGAAGAAGAAGAAGAAAAAAGAAGCTATGCAACTTAGCAATACGCTTGATCGTCCCGGCAGCGACGAGAACAGAAGCTTCTTACAAGCAAGCAAGCAAGCAACGTTCATTCGGTAGATACTACTGCATATGTATAAGAAGCCTATCGCAAAAGCCGATCTCAGACAACAAAGGCTGAAAGACATGAAGGGTCTTGGCAAAGATAACAGCAGAAACATGAATCCTTGAATTGCGCTCACCTATTGGCGGTAGATGTCGCCCAAACGTGGTTGTCGGCAAAGCACGGATTCCATCCTCATCAATCGATCGCGTGGCAGAAACGAAATCGTGGTTTGGCATTGCGGTTCGTGAGACAGACGATAAGCTGCCCCAGCCCCCGGATCGCGAGGCTGGGGTTGTGTGCGACCTTATCAGGCTTATCTATACGCCTGCGCCTGCGGCCTACGGGCAGAAGGCCAAGTTTGGTTAAAGGAGCGCTGTCTGACGGCTTGATCAGCGACGGTTGTTGATGCGTGGTGGTCCTTTCGGGATCATCTCGTGTTGTGTGGAATGTTGTCTAGCTTTGTTGGGAAAGAGCTAGGATGTTGGAGTAACCAATCCTCCGTAGTGCAACAAGGCTGCCTTTGATACCGGTATATATAGAGTTTGAAGTTCAATTGCTTGCGTTGATTCCACGTGGTGATCCTAAAGGAAGGTGTTGATCGTGGTTCGAAATAAGAATGAGGCATGGCATGCATGGGAGGTCGTGTGAAGATGCTGGGATTTGGTCTTATCTATTATCCTTGTCGGTAATGTCGATGTCTCTTGGGGTGGTGATGGAGCTGCGCCAATGCTACCTCCATTCAGGCGCCCCGCTTTGTAGGCTTGCATGGACCTTCTACCTAAATTTAGCACCTTCTACCTTCTACCTTCTACCTTCTACCTTCTACCTTCTACCTTCTACCTTCTACCTTCTACTCTGTCTCTACGTCCTTATATTATCTCTCCGCTAAGTATACTAATATATATCTAGCTTAGCGGTCTATACTAAGCCTATAGCGAAGCGCCTAAGACTAACCCGTTCGGCCCTTATATAACCTACTATATTAGAATTAAACAATCGCATATAGTGCACTAGTTCTACGCTAGATATCGACTAACCTAGAAAAAGGGTCCTACGTAATAATACGATCTATTAAATTGTCTATATAAAGTATCTACTAAAATACGAAATATATACTTAATTCTTAGTATACTAAGATAACCTTACGTACGCTCTGTTTGTTCTACCCTACCTTATACTATATATATATAAACGAAGCATCTAACAAGCTATAAAGGGTACGCGGAGCCTAAGAAATACTACCGCTATAATCTCCCGTATTTAGAATGTCTATATTATTAATACGTTGCCTCTGTTTTACTACCTAGGGCGAGTAGCCTTTATAGCCCTCTCTGTTTGCTTTTTACCCTTCCTATACACTAATTTACTTAGTATACGCGCGTTTGTCTCGTAAAAGCTAGAAGTCGGTCTACTAGCCGTTTCTAGGTTAATCTATAGTATTTAAAAGTCGACCTTACTACCGCTAGCGTAGCAAACTTCGTTACTAAACATTAACTTCTAAAGTGCGCGCTAACGTTAAGGACTCGCGCTTTCGACACTCGATACTATTTGTATAGCCGTTTAGTTATTACTACTACTACTGCTACTACTACTACTACTACTGCTTCTAGTATATTATACTTCTATAACCTTGCTACTACCGCCGCCTCCTCGCTATCTCTAATCTCTAATCTCGCCGCGCCGCTATACTCGACTCGATCTAGCCTAGTATACCGCTTAAGAAGCTTAGTAAGAAGTAGTAGAATGCCGTAAATACACAAAAGAAGCAAGATAAGAACTAGAAGCGTACTATTCGACGCGTTCGTACTAATAGCTAATAATAGCAATATCCGACCGAGTTACTAGGTCGCGCTATAGTAAGTCGCGAGCGCCTAGATTTTAGCTATCTGCTAGAGATCTAGTAGCTAGCGAATAAGTCCGAATACAAAGCATTCTTCTAGGATAGATACCGCTAGATTAATAATACTAATAATCCGCTTAGCCTCGAGGAGATCCGCCGACTAGTATACGATACGGCAGCCTATCTAGAAGTAGTAGAAGTATACCGCGACATCTACTTAGAAGGTCTACGTAAGATTCTTAGGCTGCTTTATCTAAGGAAGGAATACACTCTAAGGCCTATCTAGATTAATAGAGTCTACGCTATTATGTTTAGCGGCAATAATCTACTATAGATCTTAAAGATAGGCAAAGGCAAGACGCTAACATTCCTGTCCTTTACGTTATTAATAGGTATACTATTTAATACTAGTTTAGTTGCTATTACTATTAGTACTAACTTTCGCCTAGGTCTAATAACCCTCTAATTTATACCGCTAAATCGTCTCGGCGAGGAATAAGCCGATAGTATTACTAGTATCGCAAAGGAGCTAGAAGTCTTATTAAATGCTATTAATATTACCTCCGAGACGAGAAGCGTCGATCTAAATCTGTTTAAGTATATCCTCGATAGCAAATATTATTATATTATCCTAAGTCTAGAGACAGGTACTAGTCTAGAGTTTCGCAAGCTTCTACGAGATCTAAAGGTCCGCGTATATATCGGTCTAGTCGTAATCGATAAGATATACTTAGTAAACAAGTAGCGCGACTTCCGTAAGGAGTATGCCTAAATATATATACTACGTAAGCTCCTCCGAACCGATATAGTATAGCTTAGCTGCTCTGCTACTATATCCGAAGAGACCGAAGAGTTTATACTTAAGTATAGCGGCTTCCGAGAAGTAGGTAATAGGCTATATTAGATAAAGATTCTCCGTAGCAGTATCGACCGTCTAGATACTACGTATATACTACGTACTATTTCGAAGAACTAGCTTAGCTTATACGACTATCTATACTTTACTATTAAGGGTGCTTTCGATTCTAATACTAAGGAGGCAATACCCGAGAAGATTAAGAAGGCGCTATTATTTATCGATAGTCGGAAGTATATCTAAGACCTAGCTAATATTATCTACTACTAGCTTACTACTACTACTGCTAATTGCTAAGATCCGAAGAAGCGATATACCTAGGATAATAAGGGTATTAACGTTTATACTACTATTACGTTTTATACTAGTAGTATCGCTAAGCGTAACTAGAAGCGTCGATATAACTAGTACTATAAGACAGCCGACTATTTAGAAGAACCTTCGAAGTATCGTATTATAATCGCTACTATAGCATTTAGCGTCGGCTTAAATATTCTAGATATTAAGATTATCGTATAGGTTAAGTTCCCTATTATATACGATATCGAGGATATAATATAGCGTCTTAGTTATATCGGCTATGCGATCGTTAGTAGTCTAGCCTTTATCTTCCTTCTATACTATATCGACGATAGTATAAAGAATGTCTGCCTAGGAACTAACTATACTACGATTAACGTTACTCGCCGTACTCGTTGTAACTCGTATACGCTATTTCGCCTATCTAGACTCTACTAATCTAAGCTACCGGGCGAGGATACTAGTATAGCCGGTACGTAAGAAGGCGGTAATCCGTTTAATAGTAACGATAAGGAAGAGGATCCTATATACTAGACTAAATCGGAAATCGCTATATAAAAGAAGATCCCTCGTATCTAGTTCGAGATCTAGAACAATACTACCGAGAGTAGTATAGTATATATCCTTATAAAGTCGTCCTCTAGTATCTTAGTAAGGGTAAGGCACTATATACCTAAGACCCGCCTAATAAAGATGCCTACTATAATATCTACAACCCGGAACTTAACCTCGTATATATCGATTTACCTCTAGAAGCCGCGATACCTCCGAAGTTTAAAGCACTAAAGTCTAATATCCGACTAGGTATTACGTTTAAGATACTATAGGCGTAGACCTCTACTAAAGTCGTTAACGACTAGTATCTAGGCTAGGAAGATAGAACTATATTCGACTTCCCTTTGTCTTGTATTATTAATAATCGTATACTATATAGCATTACTAATGTCTTTACCGCGACTAACTTAGTAGACAATTAGAATACTATATAGGGTATTAACGTTAATAAAGACCTTATCGAGAAGAAGGTATCCGAGTTTAAGAAATAGTACGATTCTATCGATAATAGATAGCGGCCTTTTAGATTATATAAGTTACTAAATAAACTTAAGCGTATTAGTCTAGAGGTCTTTAAGTAGTAGCGCGAGGATATCGATATAAAGAAGAAGCGTATAGAGGACTAAAAGAAAGCTATAGAAACCGCCGCTATAATAGTAGAAGTAGAAGCCTAAGCTACCCGAGATGCTTTGTTATAAGGTACCGCTACCGCGAGTAGATCTATATTACCGATAGCGCTACCGCTTACTAATATCTAGCGATAAGCGCAACTTAATGCCCTAAGGAATAGTCTTACTTAGTCTAGTCGTATATAGGCCGATCGTCTCCTTAGTCGTAATAGCTAGGTAGTAGACGTACGTTCTATAGCTAGCTAAGGTTAAGGTTAAGGTTAAGGTTAAGGTTAAGGTGCTCGTAGTAGCCGCAGAGATAGACAATGTACTGTAGGTTCTTCTAGTAGCGCTAGAGGTAGCGCTAGAGGTAACGCTAATACGGTTATATAGAATACTAGCTATTATAATAAGCGTAGTTCTTTTAGTACTCTAGAAGGTCGACGTAGTATACCTCGTATTAATCCCTAGATTAAGGCTAACTATTAGCGATCTAAGTAGTTACTAAGTACTATATCTCGTACTATAGAAGAGACTAGAGGCAGGGTGCTCCGGCGTAAGCGTAGGCTATTAGAGGCTAGTCGGCGTATAATAGGTAGCTTTCTAGGTAGGCGTTAATTATTAATCGGATATAGAAGAAAGGAAGGGACTACTTAGAGATTAGTAGCTCGCTATAGAAGGAAGAATACTCTAGAATTATAGACGTTTTAGTCGTATTTGCGCTACCGATCCTCTTCCTCGTAAATTATCTTAAGTATATAGCTAGTATACTAGTATAGCCTCTAGTACTAGTATAGCCTCTAGTACTAGTATAGCCTCTAGTACTAGTATAGCCTCTAGTGCTAGCATAGCCTCTAGTGCTAGTATAGCCTTAGGCACTTACCTAGCAGTCGGCGGCTATTACTTTAAAAGTGCGGTAATATATAGCCGTTATTATTGCCTTGCTATTATAGCGTAAATAGCGCAATCTTATTAGTAGAGGCCGACCTTACCTATAAGGCGCATATAGATACCCGCTTTCTAACCTTAACTTCTTCTTCTTCGTCTTCTTCTATATATATACTAATATACTAATACCCCTAGCAATATACTAGCTATCGGCGTATATAATAGTATCGATACCTCTTTGTCGCATATAGGTAGCTCTATAGCGATTAATACTATTCCTTGCTAGTTCTGCGGCTTGCTACCGATAGAGCCGCTTGTCTAATAGTTAAGGTTCCTTAATTAGTAGAGTTTGTTTAGTCCTTTCTCTTCGAGGTTTAGTCTCCGATAGGCTTTGCTAAGTAAGACGTTGCGAGGCGACTCTCCTAGCGAGTAGGTGTTTTCTATAGCTTTAGCGGGCGCCGACTACGCATTTAACCGAAAGAGTATAGTTAAGGTTATTATTAGAATATCGCAGTCTTAGTACAAACTATAGAGGTCTTAGATAGATTAGCGGAGGTAAAAACTCTTTAGTAAGGTACACCTATAATACGGCTAACGGTCTAACTTGGTAAAAACTCTTTAGTAAGGTATACCTTAAGTAGCGGCTCGATAGCGACTCTCCTACTAAGTAGGTTAATAAGTTCGTAGGTTAATAGGTTCGTAGTATTGCTAT